ACATATATCTAATATAAGCAAATATACCACAACTCTAGCAAACAGAGGTCCCACGAGGTTGGACGACATGATGCCATGGCTGCCCCATAGTTCCTCCTTCGCTTCGCACAGAAAAACCGCGCCTTCCGAACCGGCGTCATGGGAAGCCCGGCCAGCTTGAGCGGTGAGCCATGGGTAATTTCTGGTCGAGGTGAATTCACTAGCCAACCCACATTCATCACCACCCCCCAACCCACATTCATCACCACCCCCCAAAGCAAAAGGAGTTGGGGGCAATTCCAAGTTATGCTCCCATTTGTTTCTTGGGGAAGATTAGAAGGGAATTAGGGGACCCCAACCCCCCTCCCCGTCAAGGTAAATTGGATATGGGGATGTCCCTGGTGGGGGTTCACTTCAGGAGAGGTTGTCCGACACCCATATTCAGCAGGGGTCAACATGAATCCGGAAAAAAGCCCTCGTGGGAACCCAAGGACGAACCAATGGCGGACGAACCAAGCCATTGGTTCGGTTTGTGTCGCAGAGGGAAATCTTCACCTTTTGACGCGATATGAATCCTCCGTATTGATTGAGCCATCGACTCCCGCAAAGATCAGATCCCTAGATTCCTTAAAGGGGAGCCACTCCGGAAGGTGGACGTTTAAACGGAAGCAAACAGCAGACCCACAATTTTGGGGTTTATTGACACACTCAAATGACCATCCAGACCAACCTACGGCTTGCCCAGCTCATTCGCCCCGGCCAAGCTCTGCTTTCTCGTGGCGCCCCCAAAGGGGCGACCAAGCGACGGGGCTCGTAACGAGGTAGCTCACATGCAACCACAGCGACTCGACAGTTTTTAGAAAAGCACGTTGGATGAGAGACACGGCCATGGTTCTGAACATTGGAAGATTCTGGAAAGCGGTTGTGGGAAATTGGGTTTAGGAGAGCTTCTGTGATACCAAGGGAATGCCCTTTTATATAAAGGAAAAGCGTACTGGTAAGTGAAGGCTAGCTGTCGTTAAAAGTAGTTAAGAGCGGAGGAGAAGAAAAGAGAAACGAAGAAAAGGCGGTCGGGGAAACATGGATGAGCGGAAGGAGAAGGAAAAAGAAGAGAAGAACAGAGAGGCAAAGGGAGGAGGGAGGGGAGAGATTGATAGATGGATGGATAGGTAGGTAGATAGATGGAATTATCGATAAGTTCTTATGGGTAGATATGGGTAGGTAAGAGGGGTAGATTGATGGATACGTAGGCAGCTACACACCGCTCAACACGTCCAAGGTTGTTTGCCGCCAGAACCACACTAGTATAAAACACATGGACTTAGAACACACACACACAAAAGGGGGAGAAAAAACAAAAAAACAAAAAACAAAAAACGAGCACCAACAACCCAAAACGGACCCCCGATAATTAGCAAACATCAGGAGTGCTGAGCAGGCTTAGGTGCATGGAAGGGCCACGAGTGGAAGTACATGGATAGATCGTTGGATAGATAGATAGATGGATAGATAGATCGATAGATAAGTGGGTGGGTGGATGGGTGGGTTGAAGGATGAATGGATAGGTTGCTGGCTAGATGGATGCGTAGGTAGATGAGTGGATGGGCAAGAAGTTGAGTAGACAGTGAGATCGATCAATACTTAGACAGATGGAGAGATGCAAAGATGGGTGGACAGTGGTTGACAAATATTTCGATAAATAGATAGGGAAAGAGGAGACACATAAGCAGAAATACAGAGAAGAAAAGAGAAGAAACATAGCAAGATAAATGGAAGGACAGAGAAGAGAAGAAACAGACAATTAGAATTCAAAAAAGAGAGAAAAAGAGAAAGAGCAAGATGACTAAAGTTTCTATATGTCAGAAACCTCCGGCTGTCACAGAAGTTCAACGCAATGATGGCCATGTTTGCCCTCAAGTGCCCCAAGCCTTCTCTTTGACCTTGCGGCTTGGCCGTATTCATCCAATAGGTGTTCACTTTTTGAAGAACCACCCCTTAAATTACTCTCGTCAAACCATCCCCGAAGGTAGTCACCCTGTCTTGCCGTTTCCACTTGGACTTGGAGATTTCGCCAAGTTTGGGCTATGTTTCCCACATTTACCCTCATGTGTCAAATGTTGCTACGTACCCTCATGGGTCAAATTGTTGCTACGTACATGGATTGGGAAAGAACCACTTAGCTTTGCAACCAAGCCTTTTGGTGCTGCGCAACCCATATTCTTCCGAAATTAGTTTCCAACACCTCCGCGTAACATCCATGGACCAAGGAACCACTTTGCTTTGTACCTATGTGTAACTATGTCCTTTGGTTGCAAGTGAGGCTGGGGAAGAGATCAGCGCATTGCGCGAGGCCACGGGGCGCATTTTGCGAGTCAGTGACCAGCGCAGAAAACGACGCGAGATCCGTTTGGACGAATGGGGGAGGTTAATTCAGAGTTTGATGTCCTTGCCCAGTTTCGGGATTCTGTGTTTTTCTCACTCCCTGAGCGCATGAGTTTTATACTTTTTGAGAAGACCCTTTTAAGTGACAAACATCAAGTTCACGTGTCTTGGACAGTCCACTCGAAGTGAGTTTTAGTTTTAGCGGGGACAACAAAATCAGTTTGCACGGCAGTTTCGGGGTTCCCCGTTGGCTCCGGAGTGGAGACGGGCTCCGGGCCTTTTCGAGTTCCAAAGAAAGGATTCCGGGAGTTGCTGGTCGGAATACCCGGGCTGAGTTGGATGAGTGTGTTGGTTTTGATGCCCCGTTTTGGGTTGGTTTAAAGGTACGCCAGACGACGCCAGAGGAAAATGGTCTTTCTTCTTTTTTGGGAGGGGGGGCGGTCCAATTGACATTTTGAGACAAACTCAGTTGTGTGTTTCGTCGTTCCAACGAGTTTCCGCATGCGCTGATGGGACCCCAAGAGTCGCCACGTGCATCACCAAGGGCGATGCATACCGATGCGTGGCGTAGCCGGAATTGGGCGCTGCTGGCGCTGGCTGTGGGAGTCTCGCATTTGTTGCGGTCAGAGGCTTTGCATACCAAAACTAGACATTTGAAGCTTTGGACTTAGTGGCTGGCTGGATCCATCATGGGGCTATGAAAAGTAAGGACGCAACTTGGTGTTTGGCGTGAACCATGTGTTGGTTTGAGCTGTTTAATCATTTGAAAGTAAGCCACTTTTCATGGTCCGCATGTTGGGTGTCTACCTCAATCCCTTTGTGAGGCAATGTTTTTGTTTTCTCAGCTGCCTGAAGCCGGGTTCCTACTCGTCCCCTTAAGACATTCTCACAGGAAACTCGATCAGCGACCCGGACAGCCACGCCGTCGCTGTCGCATTTGATCCCCAACCCTGAAGGTTGCAAGAATCTGGACAATATGGACTCTAGGGGTTTGCGACCCAATGTCGCGAAGCTTCTTTTCCTCAGAAAGTGCACCGTATTTTGGTGCATGATTAGAAAACCACCCAGATATTCCAGGAATGGAACCCCGGATGAATAAAGCCCTGATTGACTTTGAGAGATGGGGGTCCAATGGGGTGCCCCCGTTTTTGTGGGGGCTCACATTCACCACTTTTGGAGGGGAACACCCCCCCACACCCGCCTCCGCTGAATTGGACGGGTTTCTGAGTCCGGGGTCTCCCCAATATGCCTCACAAAACCCCCGCTAGGTTCTCTCTTTTGACCTTACGATCCACGCTGATGGGAATCGCTGGGGTAAAATGCTGATGTAGTGATAAGCCCTTGAGTTGATGAATAGGAGCGGATTTTCTTCACTCGGGGAGAATACTTTGCTCATAATCCACAAGGTCGAATGGGCGACATGCCCCGGGCCAAGTTGTTTAATGACCAAGAAACCCATTTTGTTTCGTTCCATTCTTATAACGTCGACCCCGGATTCATAAGCCTGGCGGATCCAGCGCGGAAACCAGGTGCAGGTGCAGGGTTTCTTTAAGATGGACACCCTCCTACAAATCCACCAGGGGTTCTCCTGGGCTTCCACTAGAAGACCATGGTATGTTCTCACCGCACGGAAACGCGAGCGCCATCGAGCGCTCCGCGCTCGCAAGTGCCAGCAGCGAGCGTCGCACAGTGCAGGCGGGTGAAGGGAAAAAGCAGATGTATGAGTCTGTCAGAGCGACGAGGATGCTTATCGGAGCTTAATATAAGTGGCCGAGGCCGAATAGTGGCCAACAGTATACTCCTATGTTCATGACAAAGTTTGGGTTCAAAATCCCCACAACCCCATTCCAAAAAATTAAGCCCTCCCTCGTGGTGTGCGTGGACCTTCCCAGAAGGCCACTGCTGGAGCTACGTTCGCCTTTTCTGGGCATTCTGTTTAGACGCGCTTCTGAAGGTAAAGGAAAACTAAGCATTGCCAAATCAAGCTGCTTGCCTTCCCAAGTTGGGATTCCACCATTTTTCTGTCCCCGCAAACAGTGGAAAACTTGCAGACGGTCTACATCTGAGTCTGGTCAAGTAAGGGGGAAACGATCCATCCTTTGGGCTCCGAAATTGTGTCATACCGACGTAGGTAGCCGCAGGAAACCGATTGAAAACGAAAGCTCAACTATATGGCCATGGGTCAAAATCAAAATCGTACCCCCAGTGAACATCCGATTCAATCCCCACTAAAATAGGTTCTAAAATGGGTGGGCACCTACCCCAAAATGGTACCATTGGTTTTGACCCACAGCCATATTTGCTTGATCAAGGCTTGGTAAACGGGGGCCCGTTTGCTTCCCGAGGCTTTTTTCCAGATGCCCAAAGCATGGCATCTCCCAATGGCGATGGGTGTGTGGTTCGGGGAACCCTGAGTGATGTCTCAAAGAGGTTCTAGCATCAAAGAGTGTAGCATCCTAGATCGAATCTGTTAGAACAAGGTTTCTAAAAGGATACATCTCGCCATGTTGAAGTCACACATACCAGCTGACGTTTGAGGCTCCCATGTGAGTCGGGTAGTTTTTTGGACGTATCCTTTGGGAACCCCCATAGAACCCATTTATTTAGGGTCAAGCAAATCGCTCCGCTGCAAACTCCTGGGCTCAAGAGCGGTGTTGTTGCACTGCTAAGTGACGGGTGGCACCATGCGTTGCTGCACCGCGCTTGGCCCCAGCCAACGGAAAGCTTCAAATAAAATCCTTCCAACTTGGTCCCCAGCCATCCGGTTCCGTGGGGTGTCAGAGATCTTTTTGGTTGGTGTGGTCGGGTGTCCGAATTTAACCCACTAAAAGTGATTTTCGCTTTTAGCAGATCAGTATTCACTTTTGCAGGGGATCAGTTTGGGCAGCCCAGCCACGAAGCCCCAAGGGAAGAACTTTTCAGGGGTCTGGGGAGCCTCGGCTTTCTCCCTCTCGTGAGTTGGAGTCTGTGGGTGCGAAACAGGGCACGGAAGCAGCCGAAAGCACCAGAGACTTTTTGCGGCCAATCCACTCAGATAGGGCCTATGATAATTCTTGGCGGTTTGCTGAATTCGGGCTCCTTTTGTGATTCAATGGACATCCACAAGGAAGCCTCCTATTCTTGACTGCTATTGGGTTGGATCTTTAGACTTTAACTTTTTGGGAAATCAAGGGAATTGGGGGGTCAACGAGTGAACGGCAACCAAGCATTTGTTTGGGGGTCCAACCTTTTGTTAAGCACACTCGGAAACCATGCCTCGGGTCAGTGCATCCTCTTGCTCCATGGGCGGCCCGGGAAAGCTGCGGTTTGGGGAGCTACGAAATGTGGTGCAAAGTGTTGGTTGGTAGGCCCCAACAAACAAAACTTTGCTTTTTGAACAAGCGTTCTTGTTGGGGCTTCATCATTTATGTTGTGCCTTTGATGTTTTAGATTGGTCCCGATGAAAACACCATGATCTCCCTCTAACTGATAGGTTCGGGGCTAGCAATGTCCAACCGCTTGGACCCGTTTTGGGGGTTACCACTATTTATAGCTCAAGGAAAGAGGCTTCTGGGGTCCCATTGGGCTTCTTTGCCGGCCAATTCAACGAAGCTTTTCTTGCTGGTGCGATAGGCAGGGAATGAGTTGGAATGACCCCTTTACCCAATCCCTTGTGGTTTTCTTTAAGGGGGACCCCTAGGTTCATTCCCAACACCCGGAATGGTCATTCCCTACTGAGCACCAGCAAGTTTTTACATACGGTTTCAACACGAAACATGCAGCTTTCTCAAAATGTAGCATCAACAGAGGAGCGACCGTGCTCTACTGCATATCCAGACGGCCAGCTTTGGGCGCAATCACTCGGATTGCACCACAAGTTCGTCGTAATCCATCTAGTAAGGGGTTCTACTTCCTACTTCCGTGTTCGGCAGAGGTCATAGTGTCAAGACCAACCTTTTCATTGGTTGAGAATTCGACTCTCGCACTTGAGAAGTACCGACTTCTCCAAAGCTGACTTTTGGGCAACTTTTTTGCGACACCCTGGGAAGACTACAGCGAAGGGGACCACGCTTTGAATTAAGCAATTGCTTCCCTGGGAGTAAGGAGGCACATGTTCAGGAGGGGTCCCCTGAATCACCGGCAACAACAAGGGCAAGCCATGCTTCATGTCTGCGAGAAAACTTCTGCCTGCATTAGGCAGAAGGTAAACTTAGTTGACCACAGCAAAGCAAAGTGACCGAGTATCACCCGCTGGTGTCCCTTGGTCCACGGTTTCTGGGTCCATGGTGCATAGCCCCTCAAGTTGCGTCCCCAGTCTCAAATCTGGGGTCTCCTGTGCTGAGATTCTATAGGGTTCAATTGCGCAATATGGGACAGAACGAGTCAACCTGTCAACCCCTCAAAGATGATCACAGTAGGAACCAGATTCCTTGCAGGTGAATCAATGGAACTGTTGGTCTGAAGGTAGGGACAATGAGGGTAGGGGTGTTGCACAGTGCTTTCTGGGAGTGGGGAACGCGCCATATGTGCTGAGGTGCCGAACGTTTACTTCCAAAAATGGGCCCGGCGCCCGGCGTTGGACCGTCTTCCTCCAGTCGTGGCTTGTTTTTTTGCGGTCGTGCGCAGTAATCCAGTGACAATGCTGGCTGTGAGCAGCAGATGAGATTAACATGGTATCGGTTTTGGTGGGTTTCCGTGGCCAAGTCTTGGTTTCAAGCGAATCTTCGGTTTCCAGCATCACGGTTCATTGGCAGACCCGGACCACTCAGACTACTTTTGGGAGCGCTCTTGAAGATGGTGTCAGATCTAAGTGGCTACCTGGACGGTGCCAACTGGGAAAACAAGCTCCCGCATCTCCTGTTTTGAATAGGGCTTGCCACTAAAGTTCAGCAACCCACACGTGCCCTTTTCTCAGGTGGAAATCCAATTCTTCGCAAACGAACAAACATATCATGAGGTGTCCTTTCAGATCAGTTTGGTTGAACATTGTTTGATGAGATTCTATAGATGGTGAAAACACCAGCTAATTTACCAGTGCCATCCATTTTGTCCAAAGGATGCCAATGACCTAGCCCTTTTTGTTGGGTTACGTTTCTCCAAGAGCTCTTAAGCTTTTTGGGAAACAGTGTATTTTCCATTGAACCCACAACAAGTCAAGTTTTTTTTTGCAGAGGGGTCACCAGCAATCAAGTCCTGGTTTGATTTCGCCGGGGTTGGAAGTGACCCTTCCAATCTTTGTCATGTGTCGCCCTCTGGCAGTTCCACGAAAAAATCAGGTCCTGTTTTTTACCTCTTGATGAAGATTCATACTCCGGCCTTTTCCTAGGCGGTTTGGCTTCCTGGTAGTTTTGGGCGTGTTGGACGTTCTGAATGGTTTCTAGGAGTTTTGGGCGACCCCCGAACCAAAAAAAAGTTGTTTTTCTGAGTTGCGGGCGTTTGCGGAGTTTTGCGGCGGGCTTTTTGCGGGCGTTTTGCGGGTAATTCTGGGCGGGGAAAACGTGAAAAGGGACCAATTCTGCAATCTCACGAACATATAGGAGTTTTAGTAGTTTTCGGCGACTTCACAAAAAGAACAGAAGAACAAAAAGAAAAAAACACATTGATATCTAGGAAAAGCAAGTTAAAGACGAGAACTTCTAGGGGTTGATTCCCCATTCTTTTGAACCATCGTTCTTTTCAAAATCCAGCCGTTTTGCTTGGAATTCTGGGGGTTTTGTAGAAAGAGGATTCCTGGAAAGAACGGAAATGGAAGGTACCCCTAGAGAACATTTCCAGGAACTTCCTGGAGATTCATTCATTCTCCATGGTGGTTTTTTGACGCAGGTGGCCATTGAGAACAAGCGCCTCTGGGGCCTCTACATCTGCATCTACATCACCGTGGTGGCCCGGAGGCCCAGTGGCAAAGGCATGATGGCGATCCCCTCGGCGGTTCTCGGTGAGGCATGCGTCGAATGAGGCAAGGCGGAGGTTTTGCTCCGCGGTGTTTTGGGCCAGTTGGATTCTTCCGGGTGGACAATTAAGGACCGAATTCAGGACCAAATGAATTCACCCCAAAGAATGGTTTGTGTGGGGAAGAACCCCCCAACCGCCTTGCGTGGTTTGCGATTTCCGCTTGCTTGAATGCTAGTGGCTTGGATCTTCAGACTTTATCTTTTTGGTTGAAATCAAGTTGGGGTTTCCACGAAGCCCCCCAAAAAGTGATAAGCTTTTTGCAGGGGGGTCAACAGCAACCAAGGTTGGATTCTTTTGACCTTATGCGCTATTCTTCTGAACCGTTTGGGTGTTGGGCTTCGGCGACCACCAAACCATCACTTGGGGCATCGGGGGATAGCACCTGTAGAAACCCGGTACTCTCCCAAGAGCAAGATGCCGAAGGGCTGCCAATTTTTCAAGATGATTCCTTTTGCTGGGGCGTTTGGGGACATCAGGTCTAACCCGGATACAGCATGGCCTATGAGAGGGGTTGTTCCAAGGCCAGAAGAAAGGCAGGCATTTGCATTTCAGCACTACCCCGAAGCCAACCTGAGAAGTTGTGTCGAGCAACTTTCTTGTGGCTACACTGTTGTGTGCTGAAGTTGGGGGACCCCAAAATGGTGGCGATCCTCTTGGTGTCCCTTTGAAGCTTCAAGGGGCTCACAAAGGACGCGCCCTGGAGTGGATTTTGTGGCTCGCTAGACTTAGCTGGTTCGATGGTAGAACACTCCATTCAGATGGTGGGGTGTGCATGCATAAAGGATTCCCGCCCTATACATTGAACCATTTTGACATGGTGGCAATGCAAAAGGACAAATGAGTCCAAGGCAAAGCATCTGATGCAATATGCTTGCTTTTTTGCTTAATGACAGACTTGGAGCAACTAGAGAGGGGGGCAACGTTCCCTTTCACGTCAACTCCGCAGAAAGGTGACCGACACCTCTTAATCTATTGGGCCTGCCCAAATTTAGGCCTTCTGCTCTGTGACTGCCGTCCTTTTGGTTTATGGGCCTTTACCATGGCAGAGGGGAACAAACCTCAAGCGGTATGGTCAGGAGTAAAACGGTCTCCCAGGAGGTTGCATGTTAGGGGACAATGTTGCACCTGGTTTCATGTCGGTAGTCTGAATTATGTCAAGTTTCCCCGGCTTAAACACGACCCCCCCCCCACTGTTTCGGTTTCATGATTTATGTCAAGTTCAGACCCCAAACCCCCGGTCCAAAAAATACGAGCAAACATCTCAGGGGTGGGTGAGTTAGGAATCCCCAGGTCAGATCTTAGCCTCTTGCCTTTTAAAAGGGGCTCCAAGTCTAAAAGCTTAGCCAGGGACCAGGCCAAGACCTGAGCCCAAGAATTCCTGCTTTGATCCTAAACCACGACCATCAACATTCCTGGTTTGATTTAAGTAGTGGCAACCCAAAAGCATGTGCTGGCAATACTAAACTGAGTAGTGGCAATACTAAAGCAATACTTAAGTCATCCAAGCTCCCTGCCAGATCCGTATTCAGGATCCCGAGCACTGTTTTGACTGTTTGAGGGGGGGCACAGTAAAGAAGGTCCAACATTCGTGTGAAGGCCTTTGTGACCATTGTGTATGACTACAATGAAAGCCTAGCCGTCTATAGTTCTGACCAGATGGTGCTTCTCTACGCATACATTCCAACGGAACTCAAGCCAACGTTTGACTTCCAGCCTTCCAAGGGAGGCGCCTAACTGGTCAGCTTTTGTGGGCTGTCTGCAGCGCACGACTCCGAGAAACGACGGGCCACACTTATGGAAGGCGACCACACAGGCGACGGAGGAGCTTTCGAGCCAGTCGAAGCTGCAGGGCATGATGCCTGGGCCTTTGCGGCTTGTCGCGACCCCAAGTTCACAGAGATGGCCGATGTCCTGACGATCGCTAACAGCCAGGCCATCGTTCGAGTTCTTTGGCTATGAGTCAGTAGCGCCTTTTGCAAGACCCCTCCCAGAGGGAAATAACACCTTATTTCAAAGTTCATGCTTTCATAAAGAATACCCAAGTAAGAAGTTTTGTTGAATCTCCCGCAAAAGTTTCAACGTTAGGACAAGTAAGTGGCTTGAGATTTGAACATGTTTTGAACAGTCACTTATTTTGCCGAACACGTGACCCTTTTTGTTTATGCATTTCTCCTGGTTTCCACTATTTGGAAAAAGGAACTGATGCATCATATATACCGCTCGTCATGTTAAAAGCGCAAAACATTGACTTAAACTTCTTTTGGCATTAGCCGGCTGTCTTTTGCGACAAGGTGTCAACTTGTTTCTGGGGTTGGCCTGTTCCCTTTGAACTCAACCAAAAAGAGAACGGGTACCCTCTTGCTTTTCCATGGACTTCACACAGTTTGAACCTGACTAGGACTGGAATACCGTTTTCTTCGGCTCTTTTCCAAATCCTTGCACAGGTGAAGGGGTCATTCAGGTTCGCTTTGACGAGCATTGGACTTCCAGGGCCCTTCGAACTGCAAAGAGCTTGCAGTTCGGGTTGGTGTTTTCTTGAGCGCCGCTCAATCTTGGCTTAGAAGAGTGGCCAAACATCCGTCGAACTGGGACAGATTTGTTGGGTTTCTGGTGCCCAGCCCACCCAAATAGAATTTCGCAGTGAAATCCAATGAACCCTCAAAAGGTCCGTGTGCAATTGTACATGATTTGCATGAGAAACATGCCCACAAGTGTCCAAATTATGATGCCGGCGCTAAGAACCCCTTCCAATGTTGACCCCGAATGAATAAACCCGTCCGGTGTGCGGGTGTTCCCCTCCGAAAGCAGTCTGAACTCTCACTAAAAGAGGTTGCTCCCCCCAATCACAATCAACTACATATGGGTGTGTCCTAAAAATAGAGGACACCAAAAGCATGTTGGTTTGTGTTTTTTTTTTGAGTTGCCGCGGGAGCTCAGCGCAGTCGTGTCTTTGTGACTCGAGGCATTGGTGGCGACGGCCATTGGCCTCTTCCAGGTGTACATCGTTCCGGTAGAGAGACCCAGGAGATGAACGTTTTATGTCCAGTGAGTTAATAACGAATTTGCCAAAGACACACATCCCTTCTTTTAGGGACCCCTTGGGTTCGGTAACTTGTCCCATTTGGTTATAACGTCATATATTTTTGGTGGCTTTCCCTCATTCTAACCCCATTTAAAGAACTTTCTGATCCACCCCCAAGTATGGCTTTGTCCGTTCCTCTAAAGGACACCAATACTGTGGATGGACAAAATCCTGCACCACCTAAGAAACTCTGGAATGATGCTTCCCCATGTAAATGCCAACAAACTGGGGCTTTTCGTGGTTTCTCAGGTGTTGTTTATGCACAGTAGGGGGTGGATCTGTTTTTCCTCCTAACTTTCAGCGCCCCGTTTGGAGGGAAGCGAAGTCAGCCAGCTTCCCTCCAATTGGTTTCAGGATTTGGTGGTTAGGACGGTTAGGCGGGCTTCCCATGTTCACACCCAAGCCACCAATCCAAATCAACCTGACGGGTTGCCTGAGCCAACTATGCACTCAGAGTAGTGGAGCCCAAAAAGGCCGAGCCCTCCCCACAGATAATTCCGAATCATGCACGATGTGGGTGTGTCGTTTTTAAGGGGCCCCCCAAAATGGTTTTTGTCCTTATCGTGTCCCTTCAAACCACCAACGAGGGGCCCCTCAAAGAAAGATACACCCGTGTGTTTCTGACCTCCACGGGATTGAATCTACTGGAAAGTTCAACCTATGGACAAAATCATGTCTTCCAGTGGTGCTGTTGTTTTTGGAGCGCAGGGTTCCGATTGAACATCAGCCAAAACCAGAAAGGCACATTCTGTTTCCTACTTGTTCAGTGGCCCTCTAAGCATTTTTTGTTTGGTGGGTTGTCACGACAACTGGACCCCTCAACAAAAATGAATCTTCGGGATTTGTTTCTCGTTCACCGCGCGTGTCAAGGATACAACTGGAGTTTCCGGGCATGCCCGAAGCAAACAAGGACCGTTGTCTACAAATTGGCCGCAAGGGCCCTGAAAAACGGAGGGGCGCCTGTGGGTTTTGCGGGTGGTGCTATCACCCCCCGCACCTGCGAAACTCGAAATGGAATGGGTCAGGCCCTAGGCAAGATCATGTTCGCCCCAGAGGTTGCTTTCAGATTGACCACCAGTGATTCGTAGTTGCTGTTGGCCGTGATACGGGGGAACCAAGCAATTTGTGATGTGATGAGTTTGCAATTTTCCTTATTCGAGGGGTATAATTTATTTGAGTATTGGCCAGTCGTAATGAATTGGCCACTGTGATCCCAAGAAGTGGTGCAAAGGTTCTTGCAGGAAGTTGTCAAGTTTCAACCATGTGGCCCCATGGGTCGCCAGACACCGAAGTGGTGCGTGCGAATGACTTCCCGGTTGAACATTGAACAAAACATTGGGTTCCACCATGGTCTTCCTTTCGCCAGCGTTCTGCTTATTGGGCGAGTTCAGACTCTTCTATTTTGTGGGGCGGGGTGGTGGGCGGGGTGCAGCGCAAGTTCCTTTGGAGGGGGGGGGGGGGGTGAGGGGTGCGGGTGGGGTGGGGTAAGTAAGTGTTTCAGGCGAAAGCCTTATTATTGTTATTATGTACGGGGAGGGAATCATTTAACCAAGAACAACACGGCAAGTGCAAGTTCATTCCATGCCACGGAGTTTGGACTTGAGGCTTCATGTTATTTTCGAGGATTTTTTAGTGGGGGGTCACACCACTTTTGGAGGGTCACACCCCATATTAATGAACAGGAGTTTATTTATCCGGGGTCAACATTTCTATGAAAACTGGAAGGGCCAACATTCCATCTTTGAAAAGGACGAAGGGGTAAAATATGGTGAACTCCCGGCATTCAACAAACGGGAAAGGGGATACACAGGGACTAAGTTGCACGGTGTATTAATCCTGCGTCCAATTGCTTAAACATGAGTATATGTTTTTGCTTCTATCACTTCTGAGGAAACATGTTTTATTGTTTCCAGTTAAGCAAATGGAGGTCTGGCCTGCGTGACATGTCATCCTCGCTTCCCCTGTCGCCGGCTAAGGTCGACCCCCACCTCCGTCTGCAGATCTGGAAGGATGTGTCCGTCAGCGGCGATTCCCTCGGTTCCGCCAATGCGACGGGGCGGCTTTGGCCAGGGCCAAAAAAAGATGCGAGGGGTATTTGTCAACTGGGTGGCGCGTCTTGTTTGTTAAAAGGAAGACCAAAAGGAGTACCAACACTTGGGGAGTCCCCTTAAAAGACACTCCCAAATTTGGGAGTTAGAGCCCCTGAATGCCATGGTGCCCTTAGGTTTCCGACATGTCCATCAAAACAAAGTGAGTTTGTTTAAGCTCGAATGAGCAAGACGTGGGCTGTTTGTATGGAGTCCTTGAGAACAAACCAGTTTGGTTCATATGCCATCGTTTGGCCACAAAAGGGTGAACATACACACTGCATTTGGACTCGTCAGAGGGAAAATGGCAAGACAAAATCCGTGGGAGACCCCTATGTTTGAAAACATCTAATTACATCTTGCACCTGTGCCTTCCTTGAAGGGCTCGTTTTGTTGAAAAGTAATTGGCCGGGAAATTGGGACGATGACCTGTTCTTGGTATCAGGGTTTGCAACAGGGCACTTTATTAGGGAGCATTTGGAGGTATAGTCTCAAGAGTAATACACTTTGAGAAAGGGGCCCGCTTAGAAGCTTGCGAGGAATTGTCACTAGTAACTGTCGGTCAAGGGGATAATATTACCGAGTGCACTCGCCAAATTCCCGTTAGGAGATGGGGTTGCTCAGGAGAGGAGTGTTATTGAGCACGGGCTCATGTGCTTTGGTTTTCCCTTGGGAAGGGCAATGAGCCGTTGACAAAGCGAAGGTGGAACCTGCCCCACCGGCAACTACGACTACGACCCCGGGAATGGGTCCGGACCTCAGGTGCTTCACCTTGCGCGAGCATTGCGCGCCCAAAGCCTTCCGTGGAACCATTTGTTTCAGTTTTCAGCTTCCCATGGTCTAAGTCAGCAACCTTCGCATTTACGGCGGAAAGCTTGGCCTTGTCTTTTGGACTTCATTCTGCACGGGCGATGGTTCATGTTTTCCCGTGCCCAAAGGTGGCACTGGAGGTTCCCTTTGAGGGTAGAAAATCTGCACACCGCAAAGTAATCTCCGTGGTGACATGTTTGCATTCCCAAAGTCACCATGAACATTTTGACTCTGACCTGGCCACATATTTTGTTCCATGGGAGCAGTCCAACTCGAGGGACTTGGGATCTCAACTCAATCTCGACTCCGAGCCTCGAAGGCAAAGGACCTTTGGACCTTCGCCTGTCGATTTTTTGGAGCCTCCCCCAGGCTCCCACCCCCACCCCCCTGCCTGGCCGCTAAGGCACACAAGGGACATAACATGCACACCACCAGTTTGGGGCAAGTGCCTTTCCGGCCACCGGAAGTTAAACATGATGTGTAACAAGGAGAGGCGCAAATCGAGGCCCGTGGCTCGTTTCAGACGTTCAGGGCACGTCAACATGCGATTCGTTTTAGTGCGTCTTACAGCATCCGTAGTCACGCGCAAAAACTGAGTTTCCTTTTCGGTGTCCCTTTAAAGCAGAACCCAAGTGTACCAACTCGAAACAGCACACCCATTGTTATCTTGATACAGAGTTGCTCGCAGACTTGGCAAGCAGAAGGGACACTAGCGCAGCCAAAGGCTTGGGTGAAATTCTATTCGGGGAATCCGTTCGTTTTGTGCACCACCTGGTGATAGGTTGTGCCAAGGAGGCATCCCTGCGCTTTGGATTGGTGGCTTGCCGACTTGTGACCCCCTGACAGCCATATCACAGCCACAGAAGCGCTCAGCAAAACTACAAATTGTCCTTATAATTACACAGAGCAGCGGGAGCTGTGTTTTTTTTTTCATTTGCAACCAGTCCAAAACTCAAGCCCCCTTTCTGTTCACGCATCGGTCTTTCGAGCAACCTGTTCCTTGTTTTGGTGCTATCTGAAAGGACAGATCCCTCAAAAGGCTACGGAACCTGCTGCTATTTCAAAATTAATTTTGACCCCCCCCCCCAACAAACTGAGGACTGGCAACTGGGCCTTCCAAGGCAGGGAGTGGATTGCTGGAGCCGCGATTCAGCGGCTGAGCGGTCTTTTTTTCGCGGCTGCCCGTTTTTGGCTTTACAGGGAAACATCGTTGTTGGGGTTTGCCTATGTTGACACGATCCGATGTTGCTAAGTGAACCAGGTTTCGCGGTTCTTGGCTGCCTGCATTGTTGTGCTGTGCTTTGCTTGCTTGGCTCCTCGTAATCTACGCCCGCTGGCGACAGCAAATCTTGCTTATGTTGCTCCAAAAAGATAAGCCGTCTAGTCGGCAGAAAGTGTTCGGAGTTGGATCCGGTACACAACTTCGATCAGGACTAGAGATGACATGCTTCCAAATAACGGCATCTTGATCTATACGGCTCATGGAGGATTTGATAATGCCCTCAATTCGTGTGTGTGCGCTGATCGGGTTGTTTTTCTTTGCTTGGCCATGGTAGATAAAAGCTATGGCCTAGGTGGTCCGAGATGTGTGTTGCACGTTCCCGCCGGCGTTCAAGAGAAATGCTTGGTGGATATTCTTTGTGTGGCCACCTGCAGGCGCTATTTTCAAGCCGAGCTGACATTGGCAGTCATTTTGAGGTGGTCGTGGTGACGGACCATGAATATGCAATACCAAGGTTTTTCTGAACGGACGTTTGTCGGACTTGATGGTTGGTTCGTGCCGGCTTGCTGGCTTGCCTGGTTGCTGAGACACATTTCCGGACAACTGAGCTGACACCATGACTAGCGATCTATGGTTCATGTGGCTCGGACGGGGGAGACGACTCAGTTTGGCCAGAATTGCGGGAGCTATTCATTCAATGAAGCCGCACCAGAAGAACTCGCTTCCCGAGTTCCTGGACCTTACGCTTTTTTGGGAAGACCGTTTTAGTGACACACAGCTCGTTCAGACTTTTTGTTTTCGGAAGTGAGAGGAGGACTTGAGCCACGGTCGACCTGCCGTCATCTACGGTAAAGAGGATGACACAGGTCACACTCACAACCTTGCCACTCGGAAGTGGGAGCTTACTCGCAAAAGTCTGACTTGCCTATTGGGTTGGATCTGTAGACTTTAACTTTGTGGGAAATCAAGTTGGGTTTTCCACCAAAGCCCCAAAAAGTTAGGGGTGTCAACAGCAACCAAGCTAATGTCATTCAGTCGGACACGATAGGACGCAGCAAAAGCAGCATGTCGCAAAACTCATCGTGGCACCTCCGCCCTTTGCGCCTGCGGTGGTCGCGGCATTCCGCAGGCGCCAGCTGCGCGCAGCTCTGCAGCAGCGGCATGCCGTCGGCCCCGGGCTCCGGGGCGTGCGTGACGGAAGCGCAGCTGGCGCAGCAGGAGCGGCAGTCGCTTGGTGTGGGTCATGTCCGGTGAGTGGCCAATCCCCGTCTAGGTCCCCCAGTAGTACCCTTTCCCGTCCAGGTTTGCAGCTTTCTCGCTGAAAAGGTTAACACCATCTTTTGGAGTTTCCTTCCGAACCGACCTTTGGTTCTTTTCTAAAGCCACGTATATAGTACGGCCTTGGGACATCTAGACAATTTGAGACGCAAACTTGGACGACTCAGCTGATACCCGTCAGATAGAACTGCGCAGTTCGGCGGCTTTTTGGTTCAGGAGCTGCCAACCGCTTGAAACGCCGACCTGACCTTGACATTGGCATGCTCACGCCATCTTGGGGTGATTGTGTTGACGGAGCATACGCCCTCCCAAAATTGCACTGCCAAGTTCCTTTAGACCAAGCCTTCTGTCAGTTATCATGGTTGTTTGGTTCCTTGCTGGCTCTGTTACTTGCTTCGTTGCTGGCAGGCCCCGCAGCTATTGAGGCAAGCTCATGTCACGCCGGTCATATTTCTGTACTCTATGATTTGGGGCAGAAATGCAGGACTACCTAATTCTCCCCAAATTATCCAGAAAGGCAGAGCTAGCTAAGCGCCCTAACTTACCAAGAAAACCCAACACCGTTGTACTTTTCTTTTTCTGTATAGGTTCTTTTGTGAACCTTCTTGCAAATTCGGCCACCCAAAGCCGGGAGGGGTGGTGGTGAAAATAATGTCCTGAGCTTCCAGTTGCAACTATAGCAGGTGGCCACTGGTTTCTATTTTAACCTTTGATTTTACAGCATGGCTCCATTGAAATGGGCGTAAACTGTGAGGATGGGGTTGTGCTTTGACACTAAATGAAGTCATAATCATAGGAGACAAATGTGTGCATTGATGCCGCTCCTCAAATTGACTGGAAGCACTGGGATGCGGACTCAGCCCCTCCTGACTTTTTGGGTAGGACGGTGACTCCATCTTCTTCGCCACTGCCTTCAACGAGGAGGTGCGATTCTGAGGGACCAGTTCCGCGATCCCAACGTAATCCTTTACTTTCGAAAGTAGTCATGGGGTTGGGAATCCCATTCACAGAAAGGGTTTTTCTTCCCACTTCAATCCCTCCACCTCCAACCACTTCGTCCAAGCCGGGCCTTCCGGAGCAAGGCGCAGGTGAGGTTTGGGGGGATTGAGATCTAATCAAACTGGACCAAGGCTCCCATCGTCGGGGCTCCGGCGGTGGGTTTCCTTAGCATTGGCCCCGAAAATGAATCCAAGTGAGGGTACCCTTTTGGGGGCTGAAAAAGGAACGCACCAGGAAACCAGACTTTTTTAGGGAGTCTCCTATTTGTCAACAACAGCTTATTGATATGTTGGGCTATAACTGTGGATGGCTTGTTTCTCTCTTTTTTTTAAAGGGCAGGACATATGATTTCCGTGTACCACAGTTGATGCCAAGCTGTGATTTGCATGGTCCAGTCAGCTTAAAATAGTGACCCCTCTGCAAGCCTTTGGAACTCGGGCATACGGTGGATTTGTGAAACGTAGCGGCAACAACAGCATTCTCTCAGTTGCCCAAAGCCGACCTTTTGACCTTTTGGTTTTCCCATTTTGGTCCATTTTTAGTAGAGGTACCAAAAGGTTAACCTTTTAGTTCTGGGTCTTTTGGGCAACCGAGTTCTCCCAAATCGGGTCATTTGCGGGCAAGTACGAGGGTTTTACTTGTGCATACCCAGCGACACTTCTGGTTTGTCTCAGCGCCATGTCTCAAAAGACTTCCACACTTCGCAAAGCTATATTGAGAAGAATTCGCAACCGCTACATAGATTCTACTGGTAAGACCAGTTCCAGGAGGGTTGTGGGGAGGGGAGGGGGGGGGTTGGCTTCACACCCAACAAAAGGCTTGACATGTCTCAGTCATGTGGATTCCGAAGTTGATATCGATTGGTCGCAACTGGCGATATCGGTTTGAAATGCCCATAGATACTGTTTAAGCTATGCTTTTCGCCATGATTTCTGTGGCTGCGTAAGACCTGGATGCCCAAAATGCACGCCTTCCTTATTCAAGGATCCCTTCTTTCAGCGTGGTGAAGTCCAATAACTGGGTGCAACATGGTATGTGACTTGAAAATCACGGTCGCAAGGACTCCGATACCTTATTTCCCCCAGGACGAAACGGACCACCGAAGTGTGTAGAACCCTCCTTTCCCCCTGCACTGTCTCATAATGCAGGGGGAAAGCAACAATGAGTCACAGAGAAGCAAAACGGCCCGAGCAAAAGTTACACGAGTTGCAACTACGGAGTGACGAGCACGACACGTGTCATTTGTTTCTCACACGCATGTTGGATCTTTCAAGGACATCTATAGTAGTTACGCTGCCTGCTAATGGAGAGCACACAGGTGGATGATCATTCACCATCCTGACTTGCTTCAAGCCAAGCTTTCACACGATTAGTCGTTTGTTGTTGGTGCAAGGCATTTGCCAATCTTTACCAAGTGTCAAGGGTCCTGAGCCAGTCTCGAATGTAGATTTTCAGTGCATCACTTTGGGTCGAGTATTTGGTGCTCAATCTCCCGTGCGCAGAACCGGCATCAGTGGATGCCCTTCTTTGGATTGTTTGAACATCATCTAGGTCCCCCAGTAGTGCCCTTTGGCCCTTTGTTGGGGGAGGGTTCCCCTACTAAAATAGACTAGAGGAAAAAGGGTACCCTTATCCTCTCCTCTCTACTGGAGGACCTAGCCTTAGACAGGAGCTTCCTTCCTTTGTGGACAAGACACAAGGACCCCCAGCTCCCGGGAAATTCATGAACAGATTGTTTTTGGTGTTCCCAACGGTATCTGCTCGCGGGTGCCGGGCTTTTGTTTGTGGGGCGAGCAAGTTGTTGCTTTTCTGCTGCGGAGGTCAGCGAGTCTCTTTTTTGCGAAGGTGGGGGAGGTATACTTGTTGTTGCTAGCGGGGGAGAGGGTCGATTTTGTAGCTTTTTGCGGGAGTAGCCGGAGTAAGTTAATCTCTGTTTTGTTGGAATGATGATTTCATCTCGGAGGTGAGCTGGCGTTACCATGGAGACCAGACTTGGATGGCCAACCACTTCAGTAGGCGGGATTCCGGATTCCGGAGGCGGATTGCTCCCTAGTGTGCATGGAACCCGTAGGGCTGCCCAAAAAGAGATAATATAAAACTGCCGAGCACTACACTCAGCACTCTGCAGGGTTTTGGCCACCTTTCGGAAGAATTGAGGAGCAACGCGACCCAGCGACGTCACGTCATTTCTCGGAGGTTGCGGCGAGAGCTTGTCGCTTTTCGGTTGGGGATGTGACTTCCTTTCCCCCTCCCCCGGCTCACTTTGGAGCTCAATCCGCGGATGGAGCATGCAAAAGCACGGCTACCGACAACCGCCATCAAACGGGTTGCACGGTTGCCGGTTGCGTGTTCGAAACGTCCAGCGGCTCGTACTTTTTTGAAGGTGGAAAGTGGGGACGCGACCAAAAGAGGGGCGAACAGCGGTGTTGCAAATGTGCCTGTTGCAGTATGATGGAGGGGGGCGACGCCCCACTTGGTTTGCTGTTCCGAGAAGGGACTTGAACCCACTGGTTTCTGTTCTGAGGAGCTCAATCCCGATGCGAAAACTCCAAGACTCTCGCACCCAGTTGAGGGACCATGGTTTGATGTTGCCGGGTAAGTGAAGCTTAGCAGAGGACGGTCCCAACAACAAAAGTAGGTGCAGCCGCTAGATTGTTTACATGGGTTTGGGTTGACCATCTCAATATTAGGGTTGTCCAGGTGTTGATGACGACTCAGGTCAATTTAAGACAGCTACAATGAGTAGCAAAGAGTCAACAGACAAAATCTGAGGACGACACCATTGGTGAGCTGAGGAAGTAAGGCATAGGGTTCGCAAGGGTCCCGACGGAAGGGCCTGGGAAGCTCCCTTGCGGTTGCTTTCAAAAAATACCAAAAGGACATGGCTGTGGGTCAAAAAATAGATACCCAACATGGAACTCTGGTAAATGGCAACATGGACTAAAACCTGCGGTCCCCTGGTGGTTGAAGTTTGACCCATCCCCACATCAACCATCTTGGGTGCCCCACATCTGAGAGCCCATGTTCCTCCGAAAGCAAGATCGCCAGAGAGGACTTGATTTCGGGGTCCCTGGTCTTTTCACTATAGGGGTCCCTGAGGCGTAAGCGAGGTGGCACAGGGCAGCTCGCCGTTCGATGCAAAGCAGAAACCTGATTCTACAGCCATTGTCGGTAGAGTCTACGACATTTGCATATTCCGGGGCAAGATACGCGGCTGCCCTAACGGGCAGAAAATCGCGAGTCTGCTGGCTTGTGTGGAAAATCTAGTATCCAAACGTGTCTCCCTCGGCCATTTTACTCGACTTTCAACAAGTACCCCCTGCCACGTTGCCATGGCCACATGCAGGTTTTGACAGGTGCTATAGATCTGTTTGTGGGGAGCCAGGGCAACTCAAGTGAGGGGTGGGTGGGTAGGTGGGGGTGGTGGGTGGGTGGGTGGGTGGGTGGGTGGGTGGGTGGGGTGGGGTGGGGTGGGGTGGGGTGGGGTGGGGTGGGGTGGGGTTGGGGTGGGGTGGGGTGGGGTGGGGTGGGGTGGGGTGGGGTGGGGTGGGGTGGGGTGGGGTGGGGTGGGGTGGGGTGGGGTGGGGTGGGGTGGGGTGGGGTGGGGTGGGGTGGGGGTGGGTGTGGGGGTGGGTGGGTGCAGGGCCCACCTTCCTCCCTGTCCGCGTGTCACTCTGCCTGCCCCACACAACCTGCAAGCGGCGCCCAAGCTGTGCCTGTCCCACGCATGTCCGGCTTGTTTTGGTTGACCCGTCTTGCCCCCAACTCGATGAACTCTGGTTGCTTTGTCCTTAACTGCCGGCTTGGATCTTTAGACTTGCACTTTTTGGTTGAAATCAAGTTGGGCCCCCAAAAAGTTATTCACTTTTTGCAGGGGGCTCGTTCCAGCAACCAAGTGTCTGACTGGGAAGGGAGGCTCAATGAGGTGTCGACCTCCGGAGACGGACTCTCGGCCAGGTGGTACACGGAGGTGTCCGCTGGTCAGAACGCCTCCGCCCCAGGCGGGCGGTGTGGTGAATCGGATGGGGTTTTGCAGGTGTCCACCTTCTCCAAAAGTGATGATTCCCCACTGAAACCAGAAACGCCTGCGAATAAACTGGGGTTGATTCATATGGGGGTTAATTAACATAACCTATCCATGGATTGTGTATTCGCAAACGGGTGTGCCCTTCTTTCTTTCTTTCTTTCTTTCTTTCTTTCTTTCTTTCTTTCTTTCTTTCTTTCTTTATGTCTGTCTGTCTGTCTGTCTGTCTGTCTGTTTGTCTGTCTGTCTGTCTGTCTGTCTATCTGTCTGTCTGTCACCCTAAAAGTTGCGGGCGTCCTTTTGGTTTTTCCCTTCAAAGCCACCAACAAAAGGGGTATCCGCAAGAAAACACCACCCAAACCATCCCATCAGGAAAGTGGGTCCCAAAAGACCCCCCTGGACTGTGCCAGACACCCCGTGCCCCTTCCCGGTCACCACCACCAACATGGCGGACGCACGCATGCTGGGAGCCCAGATCGCCCAGATCGGCTAGGACAGACCACCCACCTGTTGGCCTCTTCAAGGCCTCTAAATATGTGGGTGCATGTTTTTTGTTGTGATTTTTGAATGTTTATTGCAGGGGCGGCGCGGTGCCGTTTGTTTCGTTGTTTTCTTCTTTTTCCAACTAGGGCGCCAGGTGCCAGGTGCCAGGTGTCGTGCGTTTTTGTTTAATGTTGGGTACCATGGTAGGGGTGGTTTTTCCTGGATGAACACCAGGAAGGCAGCCACACGGCTCCCCCCAACTTTGAGACCTAGCCCATGAATTCAGCACTTCTCTTTCTTACCTCAGGATCCCAAGCTGCGAGGTCGATTTTCCGATGGCAAAAATCATCGGTCAGGTTGGTCTGGGCTTGACCTCAAGCCGTCGTCACTCAATTTGAGCACTCAAAGCCCGGGTAGATGAACTGAAGTAAGGGACAATGCCAACCATAAATAGGTGCCGCCTTCTAAGTTATGTTCATTGGTTTGGGTACACCGTTTTCATACCAGGTTTTGATAATGACTCATTGTGGCTTAGTGGGCTTGCCCCGTTGCCCCATTGAATAGGCAGTGCTCCATGGGAGCCCTGCACTGTTCTCAAGTTCTTTTGTGGAGAGCTTTCAAACAGGGTACCATGGATGGAAACACGTGAGCTTTGCCGAAGCTGGCAGATGGTGTGTTTGGGAGGCATGCGGGAGGGGACTGCAAACTGTTTCTTTCCACAATTTGTAACAAAGAGTGGGGGCAACCTGAGCTGTGAAGGAGTGATCGGGTCATTTGGCCACGTGGCTTCTGCTCGCCTGGATTGCTTCAGAGGCCTTAGTAGAGGCCTGGAGAATGCGAACCTCTGGAGGAATCCTTCGAGGCCTTAGTGGAGTCTATGCTTGCTTTTCGCAGAAGAGGTCATGCTTGTTTTTCGCAGAGGCAGTCCGTGGGAGTCTATAAATCCTGTCTATGCTTGCTTTTCCAGCCAGAAGAGGCTGGGAAAGCCCGCGATCGAGGAAAAGCGAATGCCTCCTGCACTGTATGACTATATGGTGGGTTGCTGAAAGGATGCACAAGAATAGCAAAAAAGCCATGTTAAAGAACACATTTACCAAATTCGGAGACCTGGAGACAGGGATGTTTGGATGCACCCCTGAGAGGAACCTACTCGAAGGGAGTCTGCTTCCTTCTGTTTACCAATTCGTTTTTCCCAAACTGCCAGGTTCAAACAGCAGCCTTGAGGTGCCAGCCCGATTTGACTTGTCCAAAGCCAATCGGTTCATTTGGGTTCTTCATTACGTAACCCGTTGAATGTCAAAACAACGGATGTATCAAGCACTGTCATGCATTCTTGAGGATGTAATGGCTTCATTATGCACATACTATATATATATATATATGTATATATATATATATATATATTGCCGTATCTAGCCAGCATATAGCCAAAAAGAGGGGCATGGTTTCTCTGTGAACTGGGCCCCAACCCTCAGTACACACCCAAACAGGGGGTGCACAATATGAGCCTTTGAGTTTTGATACTCTCATGCCCCCCCCCCCCGCTCCGGGGGGGGGCTGTTGAGGGCAGAAGCCACAGGGATACAGGGAGAACCAGGGATACGGGAGGATTCCCCCGTTTGATGCACCTTGACTAAGTCTGAAAATGATCCCCGCTCCCTCCGTATCCCCGCTTGTTTGTTTGTCCTACCATATCCCAGGTGCAAGAAGAAGGCCAGCTACCTCTTGCCCGACTGGACGGAGGCAATGCACGCGCCGCATCGGGCGCGGCGGTAAAGAAAAACGTATTTTTTGGGAAGCTCAGGAGCCAAACCAACCAGTTCCGCTGTCTGTTGTTGAGGTTTCACGGGGTTTGCCGTGTTTTTTTGAGCCGCCGTAAAGACCCCAGTTCTGCTGCCTGTGGTGCCGCCAGTGCCCGTGATGCGGTGCCACCCGTGAGCCTGCGCAAAGGGCCTATGAGCCTGTGGTGCCCCTTTGAAGTCCCTTTGTGCTCGTGATCCTGTCCCGCAGCGTTCTGCCCGTGCTGCGCGCGCCCGTGATGCCCGTCCTTTTTCGAACCGCCCTTTGGTTGGTGTTAAAGGGAAGCCAAAAGGACAAGCGAAGCCATTTTGGGGGGTCCGATGCCTGAAACCAGGACAACAACCATGCGGTCAGAGTTTTGGCTTGCCGGTTGAAAGCCACAGGCCCCCTAAACGGGGGAGGGGGAAATGGCAAGTGCTGCGGGTTTTTTCTCGAATTTGCGGCTTGGATAGGTGGTTAAGTTGGAATGTTTCCCATTTGCCTCCACAAGAGCCAGGGGTCAAATGGGTGTGGGTCAAAATGAAACAACCAGGGGACCGCAGGTTGTAGTCCAAGTTTCCATTTACCAGGGTTCCGTTTTGGGCACCTATTTTTGACCCACAGCCAAATCCCCAAGCCACCTGGTCTAGTTGATGTTCGCTTCCGCTCGCCGCGCCCTTTGGTCTCAGGGACGGGATCATGTTCCTACTGAAGTGAACTCCTTCATGAGGAGAAACGGTCTGTGAAAGTCGTTTCCGAATCTGATCGTGGTTTCGTTGGACCTGCGAGTGGACAACTTGTTCTGTGGGATCAGTTCGAACAAGTAACCTCACGACACGCTTCGCAGCCATCAACAAGATAGGCATCACCTTCAGGGCTCTCAGGCAACCATTGGCAAGGGCTCCTTGAATCGGGGGGAAATAAGCGACAACCACACCATACCGCTGGAGTTTTGGGGGCTGATGTGGCGAGTCGTACTGTTGTACCTCCGTGGTGTTAGTGGAAAAAGCGGTTCACGATTCGGTTTTGAGTGTGGCACCAAAAACGCTTATGGAACTTAGGGTTTGGGTGGGAATCATGTGGTGAAGGAATGGAGACCCATTGGGATTCTTGTTCGAAGGCATGGCATTTTTGGAGCTATTGGAAAAGCCAAGCTTTGACCTCCTGTGTCGCAAAGACTTCAGACCTCCAGCGATGCCTGTTACGGAGGATCAGTCGCGAGACAGGGCGCTCCTGTCGTTCCCGCGCAGGTTTTGGCGAAGCCGTTTCCATTTGTGAGTGTGTCTGGGGTTCCAAGGGAGATGGCCATGTTTGGAAAATATGGATGCTGTTTTTGGAGGGTGGCTCTTTGGTTGCTGTGGGAAACCAACAAGAAACCATCCAGTGGGGTTTCCAGAGTGTGAAACCATCCCCTTTGTGCTTGTAGCAGCTGAAATGGACGGACTTCTAGCTTGGGTCCGTCGACTTAATAACTCCCACTGGAAAGATCACCTTCACTGCTCGGGCGAATTTTTGTGTTGCTGTTTTTGATTGTTGTGCTTAGGTTCATGGTTGGCTGTGCGTCAAAACCCTGTACCCCTGGTGAACATCAAAATACGTGGCAAATGGATGTTCATCCACCCCAAAACGGAGCCATAGGTTATGCCCCATGGCCAGTTGGCAACAACTGGCTTTGCGAATCAACCAGCGCTTGAGAAGTCACCCGGGGTTGCCAATGTTAGCGTGGGCTTCCTTTAAGGGGTGCTGTTGAAGAGGCAATATTCAGAGGCTTGTTGCTTGCTTTGTGTATGTGTTGTTCGGGAAGTCCCACGTGAAGGTCCCTAGTTTCCCTTGGGAAAGTCTCAGGGGCCATGTTAAGTATACCTGAGGGTTCGGGGTTCAGGACCCTCTAATTTACTAGACAGATCCCCCGTTTTGGCAAAGCAACCATGTACATGTCCCAGTGATTCCTGGTGGACAGGACGGCTTTTGACCCAGGTTTGCCCTGGACTTTGGCTGCGTTCAGTTTGCAAAGAACGCAAGTTGTTTCTCTCTCGGACTTTGAAATGACAAAGTATCAGAGCCCGGCCAGAAAGCTGTTTTTGCCCTCTTCAACCCCTGAAGTACATGTGTTGACGGACCCGTTTCTTTCGGAAACCAACGTAGCCTTTCGTCATGGAACATTTGAGCTGCCTCAGCTGCCTGGGTGCACCTATGTCCCCCCCAACTGTTTGGAGATCCCAGGGCCCCTGTGAGGGGTCTACAATAGCCTCTAGAGAGCTGCTTCCTTAGATTTATTTGCGTGGATGGGAAGACTTGGAAAGGGTGCCAAGAGAGTTTCGACTGTCACTTTTAGGGGCGGGTTCTTGCTTGTTGACAACCAATCAAGGATCGCACAGCATCTTTATGCGCCGCTCCGCAGGGCATGACCGCGAAGTGGGACATGGGGTGCGGCAGTCGGACGGGAGGGAATCAGACGAGCCAGTTGTCGTGGCAGTTGGGAGGAGAAGTGCTTGTTGGTGGTTTGCAAGTACTTTGTTCTTCCATTTGGTTAAGAATATGTTTTTGGTATGTTCCCCTGTTGGTGTTAAAGGGAATCTATCACTGCTGGAAGTACTTTTTTTCCAGGGGACTTAAGCAAATGGAGGTTTTCTATCAACTTGCAGAGGGGGCAAACTCACAAACGCCCCCGAAGTGATTGCTTTGGGCCATTGGCAGAGACGTTAAGGATTTGCCATCGATTTCCCCCATGAAGGTTGCTTGCTTGGGGATTCCTTAGTTCGGAGGTGTGAGTTTTGCCAGTTGGCCAGCATCTGTGGCAGAGCAGCAGGCAGCAAGCGTGGCGAATCAGTGGGCTAACAAGTTGGAAACCCACAGGTGTGTTGTTTGGGTTTTCTCGCTGTCTTTCCTTCAAGTCAGTGCTACCCTGGAAGTTGGCAGGCTACATGGGTCGTCTTCAGCTCACCTTCTAAATAGATGGTTGCCTCATGAAAAACTTGGACACTTCAATGGGGGTGTCTTTTCCTGGGACCCCCAAAAGTTGGGGTTTTCCTTTTGAAATCCCTGAAAAGAAACACACACAAAAAAGGGGCACCCTCAAAAAAGACGAGCCAGCCAAATGGGAGTGGGGCTGAATCGAAGCACGAGACGGAAGCAACCACTTGGAGGTCTCGAATTTTAGATCGTTTATTGAGTTGGGTCGCTCGGAGCCTTTGGACGGCCAAATCTTAAGGCAACCAATTTGTTTTGGTTCCTTGCTTCCTTTTCAGGAATCAAGCATTGGTGAAAATGGTCAAACCTACGCAAAAGTCCAAAGAGCCAATCCTTAAGCAGTCATCTAAGTGGATGAACCTACCCTTGTCCTTCCAGGGATTTCGGGAGGTGTTGCTGGATGTTGCAGCACTGTTCTAGGCTTGGAATCCTTTTCGTACAAACTCTGCTTTTGCCCGCGTTGTGCCCCTTGGACGAACTGAGTGCGAAACCGGCCTAACCTGTTGGTTTCAGTGCTTGGTTCTTGTAGCAAATGTTCCGAAAGGTTAACCTTTATCCAGGTCCTTTGGGCAATTGAGAGAAACGAAATAGGGTCCCAAACGAGTTTTGCGACACAAGGACCAGCCATGCTATTTTTTTCAAAATATGGCGGTTTCGACAAAGCCGCCACGCCAAAGTCAATTTCAGGGTGTTCTTTGCTACTTGTTCCTTTGCAAGTTTTAGAGAAGCAGCCGTGCCACCTCCTTTTGCCGGGTGCCAAAGTTTGTCAGTTTGTTGGAACAACTTCAGAAGGAACTTCAGGGTCATGGTTTTTCTCAATATCATGTTACCCACATGTTTTTATAATTTGCGATTTGGATCCGTGGTTTGAGAATTTGAACCCCTGCTTATCCTGGAGGGATGAGAAACCACCCCGGAGCACCACCAAACCACCGATTCGGCTCGCTCCATTCCTCCAATTCGAAGGCTGAGAGAGCTCCGTTCTTCGTGGCAAGTGTTTCTTCTTTTTTGTTCTGTTCTTTCTGACTGGGCTGCGGAGAAAAAACAGTTTTTTGCAAATGCATACCAGGGGTTGTGAAGGCTTTGGGGTTTCGTGAGCTATGCTTTTGCCACTTTTTGGTCCTGGAAAGAGGTCTCCTCCCAAAATCGGAGCATGGGGGCGTACCATACCAAGAGTTGTGGAGAGCAACTGGGTATGGGTCAAAATTAAGCCGCCAGACCGCAGGTTTTAGGTTGTTGTTTCCATGTGCCAGGGCAACCCATTTTGCTTGACCGCTATTGGGTTGGATCTTTAGACTTTCACTTTTTGGTTGAAATAAAGTTGGGTTTTCCACCAAACCCCCCCAAAAAGTGGAAAGCACTTTTTGCAGGGGTGTCGTCAACCGCAACCCACCCATTTTGGGGTTAGTTACCCCTCCTTAAAAAGGACGGGGCCACACGGATCGATAGGTACCAGATCAAGCTGCCGGACTCCTTCGCGCACGCCATGGCGGGCAAGCAGCTCCTGGAGACCACCGGCTGCGCCACGGCGCCTCGGCGCCTCCGCGGAGCGCTGGGCAGTTGGGCTATTCGGTTGTTGGGTTGTGCTGTTGAACTGTTGGGCTGCTGTTGAAGTGTTGTCGGGCTGTTAGGCTGTTGTTGGGGTCGGTTTCTTGGAGCCTCAAGCCCTGCGTGAACTCCCTCTTCTTTGGTGCATGTTGCCAAGGGATGTTAGCACTGAACAACTTTTTGCCAACGAATGGGTTTTCCGTATTAAACCACTGAAAGTTATTTTTTTTAGCAGGGGAGCAGAAAGCAACCGAGTCTTGAGGTCCTGGCTAGGTCCCCCAGCTAGATGCCCTTTCTCACCCATCTTTTTGGTTGGGAGGGTTCAATCCTACTAAAATAGGCTACAGAAAAAAGTTGGCACCCTTATTCTATCCTGTCTACTGGAGGACCTAGCTGGACTTGAAGCTTTTTGGGGGGAGGACGCCGTTTTGGTGGACAGCTCAGACTTTAGGCTGACTGATCCGCTCAGGAAATGAGCATGGTTTTGGTATGAGTTCTTCCAGGAAACCGTTCACACCACCCCGGCCCAGTGTTTTTTTCAGTGTCCACTACGGGGGTGGTGGTCCAAGAGAAGTGTATGCTTTCCACAAGGCTACTTCGCTTGGGATGATTTCAGAATTACCCTCCCACCAATGGAACCTGATGTTCGGGACCCGGCCCCTTCAAAAGAAAACTGGTCCAAACCAGGCCTTTCCGAAGGTCAAGTTCCATGTTTTAAGTGGTGGGAGGGTACCTGTTTCAGGCCATTTATACATGGCTTTAGGGAGAAGCGATGTGAAAAGTGGATTCGACCTAGGCGCCTGCTAGGCCTTAGGGCCTCAGGGCCTTATCCTTGGGCTCAGATGCCTTAGGGTCGTTCCAACCTTTTGGGCGCCATCCGCTCTGGAAAACCTCCAGGGCCCGCTGACGCTCTGAGACTTTGGAACTGAGCCACAGGGTTGGCGGTCAGAATCTCTCTCTCTCTTTGTGTGTGTGCGTGTCTCTCTTTTTTTTTGTGTTTTTATTGTTTTGTGATGTCTTTTTTTTTTTATTTATTTTTTTTTGTGAGGGCGCTCTCTGTCTCTCTCTCTCTCTCTTTTTCTCTTTCTCTCTCTCTCTCTCTTTTTGGGTGTGCTTCAAAGGTTCGCCTAGAGGAACCCACCCCGTCAGAATCTTTTTGTTGAGTGAGGGGGCGCTTTTTGTGTGCTTCAAAGGGAACCTAGACAAGACAGCCCTGTTTGGCGCTTCCCCCCATTTTGAGACAAGCCCGTATGGGCAAATGCCTTGAGCTGGTACGTCCCCCCAAGTAGTTGACACATCGTTTCAGGTCATCAAGTCTGCGAGCGGCAGCACCATCAAGCAGTTCGCAGCTGGAGAGGCGTTTCGGGAAATAATCCTTTGCGCTTTGCAGGCAATTGCGGGACGGGGGGCGAGTTTTGTTCAGGGAAATATCCCATTTTGTTCATGAAACAAGTATTGAGTTGTGGTTTAGGACAATACTTGAAACTGGTTTTGAGTTTTTTGTGTCCCCCCGAAGTTGGTGATCAACAAGAAAGCCCCGTTGCTGATATTATGCGGTGCTGCTTGCTGGATGCGCACTTCCTGAGTTTATAATGCTTGTTGAGACGACCATTTTAGTGGTCGACTTCAGACAGCCCTGGAGAGACGATTCAAACAGGGCCAACGCATGAATAAGGTCTGTTTCAACAACGAATTTGGAGGCGTCAGCTGCAACCCTCTGTTTATGCTGCGTTTGCAGCAATGACTTCGTGAGGCTATCCAGTACAACTGGATAGCCTCGGGACACCGCCTGCACAAATCAACCACGGTTGTATTACTTCAGGGTCAAGATTTCCCCCTACTATGCATAGTTGTTGGTTACATGTGTAGATGTTTCAATGGTTGGTGGCAGTCGTGTTTGCGGAAAGTCGGCTTCCCAACACGTACAGTGTGTTGACCTGCAGTTCCAATGGTCAGACGATGTGTCCGATGCGAAAGTGAAAAACTGGGTTCATCGCATTGGACGTTTGGAACTGAGCCATAGGTGCCCTTTTCATGGTTACCATTGGCTATCATGTTGCATCCCTTAGTGTGGGTCAAAAATCGGTACCCGAAATGGAACCCTGGTAAGTGGAAACAAGAACTAAAATGTGCGGTCCTCTGGTGGTTTAGTTCTGACCCACACCCTTAATTATAGCCTTAATTCTTGTTTGGGACGAGGATTTGGGGATTTGAAGCCCCTTTTGTTCACGTCCAAACCACCAGCCCAAACGTCCACTGAGGAGTCAAGTGTAGATACATTTGAAGTCCATGGTGTTGATTTCCGCAAAAGGGATTGGATCGGGTCTACCTTGGTGCAATCCACAAATGGTCCCACGGTGAGCCAAACTGGGGGTTTGTTTTTTGAGGGTACCCCTTTTTTGTGTTATAAAAGAGAAAGCAACAACAGGAAACCCACCATTTTGGCGGGTCCCCCAAAATAAACAATTCTTGCGCCGTTGCCTTGCGATTTGTGCTTGTGTGCGATTTTGGCGCGCCTGCTGCGGCAGATGACGTCCATCACTCTCAAGGCGCGAGTGCGACGCGGGCCGGGGTGTCTTCCAGGGTTAGGGGCTTGACAGAGCTCCAGATGGCCGCTGGAGGTCTGCGCGTCGTTTTGCTTTTGATTCTCGCCACAAGAGAGTTCTATCTTTAGTGCCAAGCAAGGGAAGCAACAGCTGAAATCGGATTTTATGGTGTTCGATGCCGTCAGCGTATTGGTCAACCACATGTTGGGCGGCCGGCCATCGTTTGCCCGGGTGTAGTGATGTGCTTGCGTGGCTGGAGACAGCGGCAGGCTACGCCATGTTCACTTCCCTTACACCAGAAGTTCAGCCCTGGAAAGACAATAGTTTGTTTTGCCAGGACTTCAGACCACAAAGGATCCTAAACTCCCCTGAGACGTAAGCAACTGAGGCCCCGAGACTGGGTTCCATATTCTGAAGTGAAAATACAATTTATCCACCCTGGCATCACTCAAATTGAAAGAGCATCCATTTGGCGGGCTCGAGTCATGCACTTAGACTTTTGCTAGCTCCAAGTTTGAAGAATTGATGCTCAGTTGTCCAAAACCAACATTTTGACTTTTTGGTATTTTCCTGTTAGCCGTTATTTCCAGGTGCTTTGGTGGTCAACCTGAGCAGGACATATCCCACTAAAAGTTCAAACTTCACCAGCATATCAACGAACCACTGGCCTAGAGAACAAAACATGGCCGGCTCTACCAAAATCTATCGGGTTTGGTGTACTGTGGCTTTTGCCTCACCTTTTTGCTGACCCAAATGGGGCTAACCAAGGGCTTAGCATCGATGTGACACTGGCCTTCAGGACGCGCTGACTGCCGCAGAGCTCGCCTTGAGTGATGTTATCGGCGAGCAGGTCGGAACAGAGAGTCAACTCGGATGCGCGCGCCTCTCATGGATTCCACGTTCCACCCGCTTGATCCGGTTTTGATCGTTTTGACTTGGTATCTTTCTGTTTCCAGACCCTCTAAAGCCATTTTACCTTGGCCTTTCCAGGGAGACCCAGACAAAACCACCATCATTTGCTTGGGTTTGCATCCTCCGTCCTTTGCATCCGTGCGCTCCGGAAGCTTCCCCAATGGCCAACAAATGCCCTCCTGTCGGCCTCGAGAGAGACGCAGAGAGGAAAAGACGAGCCATGACTGTGGAAAGAACAGCTCAGGGTTGATCAGAAGCTCCGTTAAAAATAAAATAAAAATAAAAATAACAAAAATGAGGATGACCATTGGTTGGAAAGAATCTGTGGGCCATGTGGTTTCCTAAAACTGGGGCATTGGCAGATTTTCTTAGGCTTGCAACAAGCACGGCTCGCAACATGGATTTTGGGCCATAAGGAAAGACTTGGTTGTGTAGTCAAACCAGTGATTGGGGGTTCCCTTCAAACTCAACCAAACCAAAGAATGGTGTTCTTTTCTTAGGGAACCCATTCCGGGTCTGGGCAAAAGGGGTTCGTTTCCAATCAACCCAGTCTCATTTTGTGTGCTTCTGTTGCCCCGACCAAATCGGCTGAAGCTGAGAGTTCGCTTGTCCAGTCTCGGTCCATTTTCTGCCAAGGCCAAACAAATAGCGATCTTCTATGCAACTAGGGGTCGTTAGGTGACGGGCGAGAATCAGAGTTCCTCTCGCTGCGTGTTGATGCTGAGCCATTGTATCTCAGGAGGCCTTTTTGGCCACGTAAGAAGACAAATATGTGCTAGACTCAGTGATTCCATTTCCCTGCATCGTAGCGGACCAAGGGAATCGGACCCTTTCTAAACCAGACGTAAAATGGCTGGTTATACCTACTATGCTGGTGATTGATCCCCGTCATTTTGCGGACAGGCAGACCTCCCGAACAACCAGCAGAGGCCGGTGGACGGGTGAGCAGATCGAGTTTCCCAACTGGGCTGATCGATCTTTGGATAGGCGCAGAAACCGTGCACTTTGTTACGGGGGTTAGACTCAGTTCTGGGCATGGCGTCCCCATTCTTTCCGGCAAACCCAGAAAGCCGAAAGCCGCTGGCTGAAAAGGTCGATGGTTGATAAGACCGGAATCAACCTCACGAACAGGAGTGCAGTCATATGGCTGTGGCTCAAAACAACCGGTACCAAAATGGAACCCTGGCAAATGGAAAAGTAGACTAAAACCTGCGTAACCCCTCCTGTTTAATTTTGAGCCACACCCATATACCCTCAGATGTGGATCTGAACATGACATCCATCACTGGAGAGACCGACCCCCCGAACTCATCTGATGGCGAAAGGCCACACCCGAGAAGGCGGCGTTAGACCTATTTTCCTTTGGATCAACAGGGCTCCCTGAAAGAAATTGATTTTGCAACCATTCGAAACATGTGGCCTTTTCCACCCAAATAAAGGGAAGCCACCATTGACAAGTTGCAATGTTCAGGTGTATAATGCATCCGGATCCCTGCTGACTCTAGCCTTTTGGGAAGTAAGTTGTATATCGACGGCAACAATTTGGGTATCTGGGGTTAGTTGCCTCATAGCCATATCCTACTGGCGTTGGTTGACATCCAGAGTCCGTGCTCCTTCTCTCAAAATATGCACCGAAACTCGGGGAAAGTGAATGGTGACGAGAGCGATGAGTGGATGGCGAATCATAGAGATCTGGGTCCCTTGCTTTTGCTACAAAACTCACTCCCTCAGCTCCTGAGGACTTGGTACTTGTTGTGTTCGGACCAATTTGGTGCCCAAACCAAAAGTTTGATTGTTGTTCGGCCACCTAGGAAGATAAAACAGGTATACAAGGTCGCTTAGTGGTTCCCTTTTGGTTTAAGTCATAGTCCTGGAAGGTGATCGCCATTTATCCTTCCTGTTCTTTTGGTTGTCTGGCGCTGCTCTACTTGAAGTCATGCAACAAGTCTGCTTTCAGACTGACATGGAACCAGCAAAGAAACAACATGCTTCGAAGAATCTCTATATTCCGCGCTCTTTTTTTTGTGGTTCCTTCATTTCAGTTCGCTTTTTCAGGCACCCGCGGTCCCTTCCCTTTGCGGGTCTCCCGCCCTTTGGCACGGAGCCAGGGCCAAGATCCAAGCGGTGGGTGCCACGTTGGTCTTCCACATGGAGGCCTTCGATGCCGAGAGAGAAACGGCCGTAGGTGCACTTCAGGTAGAGCCGCCGCCTGCTCGGCTTCGTTAGGGTGGCCCGCGTTGATGTCCTTTTGAATTGGCAGATTCCCGATTGTACCGTGATTCCTGTTGATCTCATGCTGCTTGTTTGGCTGGGGAGGAGGGGGGCGGTGTTTAGCTGAACCCACAAGGTTTTCTAGTGTTGTTCTATTGTGGTCATGGCAACCCACAGGATTGCTCCGCTGCAAACTGGCATAGTGCTTAGAGGAACCTCCCCTAGGCGGACCCCGTTGTGTGGTTCCATGTGAGGTTGCTTCCATTTAATCGCTTGGGAATATGTTGTATTGTCCCAATTGTTGGTTTTACAGGGAATCTATAACCACTGCAAACATTCCTATTTTTCCAGGTGGCTTAAGCAAATGGAAGTTTGCAGGAGATGTGCCTTTTGTGCAACCCAGTCCTTTCCAGATGAGAGAACGGGAACGGGACGCATGGTTCCATCCAAGTTGATTCCTTAGGCGCCATGGAAGGCGGAACATGGCGAACAAAAACTCGGCCTGTCGGCTGCCCGCCACTGAACCCGGACTGAAACTTGCTGGTGCCCAGGGAATGTGGGAATGAACCCGAGGGGGCCCCTTAAAGGACACCACCAGTTGGATGGTTCGTACGGGATGTACGGGTCATTCCCCCATTCCCTGCCTGTCGCACCAGCAAGGCAAAGGCTGGCTTTGTCTTTTCATGCATTTGCCTTTCGACAATCGTGGGCCCCACGCCCTGAGGATATTCGAGCGGTAAGTCAGACTCAACATGAGCCTCGTGTAGAAGTTGGCCCGTGGTCAGGGGGATTGCCCGGAATCGTCTTCCAAAGTCGGCCAAAAGCTCCCATCACCTTTCACTATTGTTGGAGAAAGGGCATAAGGTGTCCCACCCATCGCCGTGGAGGTTAAGAAACCACGCATTGCCGTACTTCTCTGACCTCTGAATATTATGTCTTTGCGGTTTCTTGATTCTTCTTTTCAACCAGTACAAGTTAACTGTTTGCGGAGATGCTAGGCTTGTTTGGCCCAGTTACCGGTACCTTTATTTTTGCAAAGGGGCACCTGGCTATACAGAGTTATAGCTCATAACTGTTGGCTTCTGCAGAAATCTGAAGAGCACTAAATGGAGATGGATGTATTACACACATATTTCCAGACCCTCAACCCTCGCTTGAGCACGTACCAAACATTTCACCCCATGTGGCTTGTCGGATGGCGCGAAGGTCACCAACAACGGCCTGAGCCTCAGGCGCTGGACGCTGGACGCCCCGAGCCTTTGATGCCACCCCTTTGCAGGGTACTTTGCGACCTCGACTGCTGGGTTGGATTTTTAGACTTTGACTTTTTGGTCGAAATCAAGTCTCCACTAAACCCCCCAAAAGTTAAACTTTTTGCAGGGGAGTCAACAGCAACCAAGCGACTGGGTGTGTCTCTTTTGGGATTCGAAGCCCCCAAAGTGATGCAACGGTTGTCCTTTGTGGCCCTTTGACAGGAGAGGCAGTTCATTCTTTGGCCCCGCACCGCCTTACCGACAGCCACAGCCAGCACAGCAACCACATCATGTACCATTCGCGTGCCAGAACCGTTCCGCCCTTCGGTGCCGCAGAGATGGTGAGTCTCAAACCTTTAGCGACCGTGGGTTTATAGAAGAACACCCTCAAGTTAACGGTGAATTATCTTTTTCCATTGGGAACCACCTCTGATCCGCAGGGTCCTCCAGAGGACGTCCGCAGTTCACATAAATAGGGCACCCTGAAAGATGTGTCTTTTCTCCGGTTTCCCTTTGAACGAACCCCCAACAAAAATACTTAAAGGCTACCTCCAAACAGCACACCCCATGACACAGGCTCCTTGCCAGGCGCCTTGCACGGCCGGATCTCCGCACCGCCCGAGGTGAGGGCGGCACGCCTAAGAACGAGGTCACCGTGACAGGCGCGTTCGCGCGCCGCGCGGCGAGCGTGCGGATTCGTGGCCCATGCACCGAGGGTTCCACACCCAGCGCCGTGTCGTTCCGCGATTTTGGGGTGGGGTTTCCCCTTGAAATCAAGTAGCGCAAAAATTCAGGTTTTGTTTCCTTGGCTTTCTTCCCCCCATGGCCACGTCGAGGCATTTCTGCCCGGCCGGGTTGAAGAATGCAAACCTACATTCCTGCTGGAGAAGGGAATGTAGGGGAAGCGGTGTGAATGCCAACGATATGCCAACATGTTGCGTGCGTTCCGGCAATCAGTTGCCAGCAGAAAAATGGCACCCTGTCTTGAGATGCTCTACTCAGTTACCAGTGTATACCTAAGACCCACACATATCACGAAAGCTAGCTTGAGCTAGCAGAAGTTTCTCTTTGGCCAGTCTTTGTCCAAGCCATCTGCAGCTGCTGCTAGTTTCTGGTCACCCCCTCCTCAAGTACCTGGTACCGCGTAGGCATGACCTCAACCCTCAAGCGGGTTTGGGCGTTCTCCAATTTCAGGTCCGTGAGGTTGGTGGTTTGGATTGTTTTTAGTTTTTTCCTGGTTTTTGTAGAGGGTAAAATGAGAAACCACCCCCTCACCTCCAAACCAATCCAAAAAACCATTGAGGTTTCGAATGCTGGCTTGGTTTCTTTGTTCTGGCACTCAAATCATTAAACTCATTAAAATCCTTTAAATGAATTTAATGAGTTTGATGCTTCAGAAGGCAAACCACCAATTGGGAGCACTCTAAACCACCAAGGAGGGTGCTGAAAATTGGCCAGGCGTGCCTGGCTTCGTGCTTCGCGAGGAGACGGATGTCCTGGACGCGTATGGGAGCCTCAGAGTGCGGGTCCAAGCCGACGTGAAGCCATCTGGGGAATGTCCCATAGATTATTATACCTGGGGTACACAGAACAGACATACGTAGAATAATATATATATATATTATGTATATACTTCAAGGTTGACACAAAATGAAAGCATAATCGGAAAACAGTTGTCTTTTGGATTCCATTATGGTTTCCACTACCCCCCAAACCTTCCCGAGAGATTTACACCATACTCTCCCGCCACAGGGCAATAAAGAAGTTTTCTTCAAGGGGATGGTTTGAGAGTGTCGTGTAGAAAGGAAGCCACTGTTTAACCCACAAGGGGCTGCTGGGCTAGCCTGCTAGGGAAATGGTCCTAAGAACATAGTGGTTGTCCAGATACCTTGCAAGTGCGATTGAGTGGCCGTTCTATTTAAGACGATCGTCCAACTTTGGGGTACACCGACAGAACATGTCTGATTCTGCTACGTATTTCCTCAACATGAAGTCCAAGATGGTTTTCTCAACCCGAATCCAACAGATTCAATGTAGATGGTGCCATTTAAAGTGGGCTTCTCGTAGGCGTTCCCCGGGACCTGGAGGGTGTCCTGTATTCAACTTGAAGGAGCAACTCCCTCAAAATGGGAAAACTGCGTTACGCAGTTAAACAGGTTTATCCAAGACAGTTTTCTTTGTTGAAGCAGTAAGCATGTGTATCGACATGGTGCGAAATAGGACGCATTATGTCCATTGCAGCGGGTCTTTCAACACTAGTTCCCCTTTAACAAGGGGCATCCCATTGTCCAGTGCAATTGGTCCAACGGGGCCTGGGTTCCGAGCGCCAAAAGGTTGATCACCTCCCACGGCTGGACAAGCGGTGAACGATTTCCTGGGCTTTCCCTTTGATCAAGTTTCTATCCTTGTGCCTTTTAGGGTTCTTCGGATGGAGCCTGATTGCTCAAATCCTCGAAGCTTGTTTAAACAGGTGGCTTTTCATCAATCAACAACAACAAAAAGGACTTGGCAAGTAATTCGAAGGAGTCTATTAAAGGTAGCAGCACATGTTGCCTTAGACAAGAGATTGATTCCCAGCACCCAGATCTTCGGGCTTTGCCAAAGGCACTCTCGTGGCCCTGGCCAGGCTCGAAGCTACAGCGGAGTACGCATCAAGCCAGAAACTCGAAGCTGAGAGGCGTGATCTTCCATCGAAATCCGGATCTCAACGTGCCCCTGTGCGTTGTCATGGTGTCCATGTGGATGTGGCTCAAAACTAAAGAACTAGGGTTGCACAGGTTAAATGAGGTCCTCGGTTCCATTTACCCAGGTGCCATTGTGGTACATGTCTTGGAGCCATGTGGATGGGGTCAAGAATTGGTACCCAAAATGAACCCCCGGTAAATGGAAACAAGGACGACTGGTGGTTTGATTTTGACCCATACCCATGTGCCCAAGCTCGATTCTGATACTTCCAGCCTGTTGCTTTCAAAGGGAAGAGAACGTGCCTTCTCTTGGGAGGAACAAGCCCCAAGTCATCTTGGTTCAGTTCCACCAAGGTGTGGCTTGCTCTTCGCCTTGTTTTGGTGGTTGGTCCGTTTGCTTCGGTTTGCTTGGTATGGGTTCTCAGATTTGCTTCTTGTTGCAGTTGGGATGTTGTGTCTGTCTTGCTTGCATGTTTCCTTGCTTACTTGCATATTTGTTTGTCCGTCTGGCTGTTTGCCTACATACCTACCTGCCTGCCTGCCTGTTTGTCTCTCTGTCTGGCTGTATTTTGTTCTTTCTTTCCTTCCTTCTGATTGTTTGCTTTTTTTCTTGATTGGTTGCTTGCAGGTTCGTCGGTTGGATGGTTTTCGGTTTGCGTGTCTGTGTGTGTTGATGGTTTGATTGTCTGACTGTCTGTCTGTTTGTGTGGGTGGATAGTTGCCTGTCGGTGGTTTGTTTGTTTGCTTGCTTGTTTGCTTGTTTGCTTGTTTGCTTGTTTGCTTGTTTGTTTGGTTGGTTGGCTGGTTGGTTGGTTGGCTGGTCTCTTTTGTTATTTCTGTCTTTATTTGTTCGTTCGTGTTGTTTTTCCTTTGCTTGCATATTCATTGTTTTTGATATATATATATATATATATGTATGTTATGTTATTTGCTGTGTTTCTGCGCTTCTGTGCTTATGCGTTTCTGTTTTGTTTTGTTGTTTATTTCTTTCACTAGTTGTTTATGTTTGGTTTGTTTGCTTGTTTGTTTGCTTTTTTGTTTGGTTGGTTGGTTACCTTGATTGGTTGTTTGTTTGTTCGTTTGTTTGTTTGGTTGGTTGTGTGCTTGTTTCTGTCTTTTTTTGTTTGGTTTTGTTTGGTTTTGTTTGGTTTTGTTTGGTTTTGTTTTGTTTGTTTGTGTCTTCATTTCCTTAGTCCTTTATTTATTCCTTCCTTCCTTCCTTCCTTCCTTCCTTCCTTCCTTCCTTCCTTCCTTCCTTCCTTCCTTCCTTCCTTCCTTCCTTTGCGTGTTTTTTTTTGGTTTGTTTGGGTTTTTGTTTGTTTCTTTGTTTGGGTTGGTTTTGTTTGGTTGTTTGTTTGTGCGCGTTTGGCTGTTTTTTGCGTCTCTTTATGTGCTTGCTTGTTTTTTTTTGCTACGGGGTCATGTACCCTTTACGGAATTTAACCAGCCACGCGTAATAAGAGTTCCTTTTAAGGAGCCATGGGACATTTGCTTTCTTGTATTATAACATGTCGGTAGTTCCTGGTCCAAGCTCGCCGTTTGCCAGCTCTTCCTTTCGTTGCCTGGCTGTGACCATTGGCTCGGCCCACGAACAGGTTGCAAGCTCTCAAATACTAGGTCCCCGGTAGTGCCCTTTTACCCTTTTTGGGGGAGGGTTCCCCTACTAAAATAGACTACAAAAAAAAAGCCACCCTTATTCTAACCTCTCTACTGGAGGACCTAGAATAACATGTATATGAAAGATGAGAGTCAGAGGGATCTTACCAGCTCCCACGATCATCCCAGGGAATCCCATCAAACACGCGGGAGCAGACATGAAACCAGGGCCCACTGAGGTCTGAGCAGCAAACCGGAGGCCGAAGCCCCGAAATGACCCGAATCAAACAGCGGCGGTATTTTTGTTCGGCGGTTCCCGTTTGGGTTCCAAAAAGGTGACGGTTCGGTTTCCCGCAGCTCATGTAGAGCAGCCATATTGGTCCAAGCCAACCTTCTGACCTTTTGGTTTCTTCTGTTTCGGTCCATAGCTTTTTCAAGGTTCCAAACGGTGAGCTGAGCTCCTTATTTCCAGGTGCTTTGGGCAGCTGAGCTAAGCACTTTTGGGACAGGTTGGCTCATTGGGTGCCAATCCTAAATCCGCTCGAGCTCAAACTCACTTGCCTTTGACACCGAGTCGCCGAGGTTTAGCTCGCGGGGCACATTCTCCTGGTTCCGAATGGACAGGTTTCTGTACGTCTTCACCATGTGTCCGGCGGCCTAGCTTCTTCGGCTACACTGGTTTTGTTTCGTTGTGGTGATGACTGCAACCGCTGTTTCTGCACCTTTGCAGGGCGTTATTGCCATCAGCTTGATGTGTGTGGGGTACCCTCCTGTCTGGTTGCTTGGCAGCGACGGCGCTACAGCTTACTTGGTGTTCAGGAACCAAAAAAGGTTCGATCTTGGCCATGTGTCAAAGTCGGGGGAGCTCTTTTTAGCGCGCCCAGTCCGCCTGTCTGTCAGAATGTCCAGCGCCCATGACTCTTGTGGTTTCCAAAAGCCCCGTTGTGCAGGGATCCTTAAAAGAAAATCATTTTGCAACCATTTGAAACGTGTGTCATTTTCAACACCAAAAGAAGGGGAAACCACCATTGACAAGTTGCAATGTTCAGGTGTATAATGTAAGGATCCCTGTTGTGGCACAGGGGTTCTTCCGGGTCGAGGAGAGCCTGGGCAAGGGCCCGCGGAACAAATTGGAGGTGGTCCTAAAATTGGTGGGCTTTAAATCGCTGCTGCCTTTCACCTGATTGCTCTTTTATAAGGGTTTCTTGATGGGAGGTGGTTGGATCGCCCCGAAACCACTGCGCCAGGGAATTGATGGGGTATAATACACCATTTATGTGATGGCCATGCTAGCAGGCGTCAAAACAAGGGACCCCCAGTTTTCCTTTTGGCTTGCGCTTAAACCAAGGCAAACAGGCTGCCGATCCTCCAAACAGCCTACACCTACCTTGCGTCGTTTAATGGTATACGTTTCAAATAGTGGCAAAAAGCAACTCACTTCCTGAGTTCATGGACTGTATCTACCTTTTGTGGAACGCCAATTTTGGCGGCAAAAAACCAGCTTGGGAGCTTTCTTTGGCCCATCCAGAGGTCGGAAATGGCCGTTTCCCCCTCAGGCTGCGTATGGCTCCAGCTCCCGGGCATGATCTTCTTCGCCTTCGCCATGCGCTTCTTGGGCACACTCTCCGAGGCGCGCCCGAAGCAGCGGCGGAAAAAGACGGGGACCTCGTGTTCTAAGCATCTCGCTTTTTGGGTTCCTGGCCATAGGTCTACGTCGTTTCTTTTAGATTTTGCACCACGAAGTTGTGTTTGCGATTCCCCACCCCAAGAAAAAAGAGAGTCTTCGTAGTTTCCCTTTAGAACCAGAAGAAAGGGGTACACTCTAAAACCGCAGAATCATATAGCAACGTTTGAATCTAACCATCTGTTTCATCAAATCTATGAGCACTGTTATATGGCCATGGACCAAGGTCTAAGCATCATGTCTCCTGAACGAAAAATCAAGCCTGGTCCAATTGGAGGTCCTTGCGTGGTGCCCTTTGGCTTTCAGAGAGGAGTCCCTGAACCTACCCGCGCGGGCGCTTGTTGGGATATGCAAAAGGGTACAGCCACCCGTGAAAGACGTCGATATCCACCAACCATAGGTTTAACTAGATATCCACCCCTTTAACTAAAAATGATAATAATAATAATCCCAATGATAAGAATAAGAAAATCCACCCTTCAAAGGGTATATCCCCAGAACCCCCTGGAAGTCGGTTCGCTTTGAGGGTAGCTTCGGGCCTCGAACTCCTCTCCTCTCCGAAACTGCGAGGCTTATGCTGGCTTCACGTACGAGCACATCGACCTGAACAAGGAGGTGATCGGTGCCGGAAGCCCCAAACCGGTCAAACCGGTCAAACCGAGCGAGAGAGCGAGGGGTTCAAAAAAATGAATGCCACGTCCGCAAAAGCCGGGGAGTTGGAGAAGAGCGAGGGATAGTCCCAACTATTTTGGGATAGTCTCAAAGCCACTTGCAGAAGAGAGAATAGCTGGCATTGGAGGGTAGTCATGGATAGTCCCCACCACAAATGGGGGCAGCCGCCTTTGTAGTTCTTTACCTAGTTTGGGTAGACCATTCTGATGCCGGTTTAAAGGCTACCCATGTTTGGGTGTTGTTAGGTAAACCAACAGACCAGCCCTTCAAGTTGGGCCTTGGACAAACCAACGAGGTGTTCGCGTCACTCACTCGAGTTGAAGTACACAATTCGACCATCCGGTTAAGGGTTAGACATACTTCGATTGGCAGAGCTGGGGTTCTTTTACACGAACTTAGGCCATGGTCATAGGGTAATCATGTGTGCCAAGAAGAAGGCCCTTGCATTGTCGGCGCCATGGGATATCCTGAGCCCTTCAGAGTCGAGGTCTCGTAAGTGAGTGTGGCACACAGCAAATGCACCTGTTTTCTTATCTATTGATAGCAAATACTGGAAGTTTTACGAATACTGCTTCATCAACATTTAATGGGCATGTAACAGTTGCTGGAACGAAGAACCTATTGTGTAATTTTTGGTTGAGCCGGCAACAGGCTCAAGCGTACCTTGGGCAATACCTAGCCCAACTCCAAGTTCATAGGGTGTTGCCCTGACTTTTGGTTTAGTGGGTTTCTACAAGGAATGGCCCGTTCTTTGAGGGTCGCTGGCCCGGGATGCTGTCGACGGTTTGGGGTAAGTGCGAACCAAAAGATTGAGGGCGGACAGTCAGAACCTTCTGTTTGGTGGGCTTGCATGTTTGTTGTTGGTTCGGTGCTTGGCTTGATTTGCTATGTTGACTTGCTTTGTCTTGTTTTGCATTGTGCATGTTGGTGGGTGGTTCCTGGCGTTATTTCGCCTTTCGACTGCTGAACAAAGTCCCAAAACGTTGGGCGCACCTTCTCTTCGTCGATGTAAGGTGAGCTTCCGTATGTGGATGCTTGAGGGCGAATATAGGACGGCTCATCAAGGATGGTGCTGATACGTATCTGTCTGCGGGTGCGTTCAAGTGATGTTCAATTGATGCACTCTATAGAATGGTTTTGCTTGTGGGGTTCCTGCAAAAGGCCCTAGCCCACTATCCTTAGACAAAGGCCACTACAGTAACTTTGAGCGATGGAACGAACCACCAAGCCAAGAGCTGTTCGCTTTTCTTCCCGGCTTCTAGCACTCGTGGTGATTTTCCCCAAAAGGAAACCCAAAGGGGATGGGCAAAATTGATGTCTGGTTTTTTCAAACCTTCTTGACCACTAGTTGTGGGTGTCCCTTCAAAATCATCCTGAACACGAGTTGTCCAGTTTTTCCTCGTGAACATCGAATGGAGGTTTGGGACTTCGGTGAGAGCAAGTGTGATTCCTGAGCGGATCCTATACTCGAGATGGTTTTTGCCTTGGGAATCCAAAACGAAGCCGAAGCCCGTGTAAAGATGCCATTTCCTCTTTGCAGACACGCCCACATGGTCACGAGACAGAAACAGATATGTGTTCCGTATTTTCAGCATTGAGCCGCTAAAGATCGCTATGGATTCGTTTGCATCACAGCTTCCTACGCTTCTGAAGGTCAAAGCTTTTAGCAAGAAACAAACTGATAGTTCCCCCTCCAAGCTTGTTTGTTTTTTGGATGGAAAGGAGCATGCACTGCCTGAAGTCCCATTCCAGTGAAGCTTCATCAGAATTGCGCCCAGTTGCCATTGTCTGGGCACTGCGTGTGAGTTTTTGGGGCCAGCAACTGCGCAAGTAGACCTGAAGAAACGAAGCATTCGACAGTTCCAGATGCTGATTTGGGGCTCGCAACCCAGGGTCTACCTGTTTTTCGGCATTTGAGGGCACAGTTGGCCAAAAAGGGACAGTCACCCAATCAATAAAAAGGCACAACGCGCCGTTTTAGGTTCCCGTGTTACTAGCACCCTTTCGGTTCTTTCTGGGTTCGGAATCCACAAGTCCCTCAGTTCGCGCACTTCGTATTCATTTGTATGTGTGTGCTTGTGACTCGTTTGAAGGTACCACTTGTTTCATGGTGTTCTCATTGGAACCCAATAGGAAGTCCACAATTTGGGGGGTCCGAATCCTACAAACAAATCTAGCCACCCATGTTTCAAAGTGGGGGGGGGCAGGGACCCCAAAGTGTTTTTTTCTTTCTTGCCTTCCTTACCCCCCCCCTCCACCCACAAAAAAAACAACAGCACCCAAAAATCAGAGCCACAGGTGTTTGTTTCTTTGTGGCTTCCCTCTTTTTCGCTTCACCAAACCTCGTGGGAGCCCCCGAAAAATTAAGAAAAAAACAAACAAAAAAAACAGCGGATCAGAGGTGAGCGCCCGCACGCTGAGCTACAGCTTCAGCTACGAGGATGCCAGCGACTTCCACGAGGAGCCTCCGCGCTGCGTGCATGCATCCTTCGCGTCCTCGGGGGGCGCGTGCGCGCGGGGCGCGTGGGGGGCGTGGCCTCTGAAAGTGGTCTTGGCCTATGAATCGACCAGGGGTTTAGGTACGAAGGATCAGGATTAGAAGAGATGGGACTCACTGATCGGGTCGTTTTGGCAGCAACCCTGTTCCATGGACAAATTCGAACAAGCTCACCCATCAGCGATGCGTAATCTGAAGGCCCTCCCGAACCTTCGACGTCCCTCCCTTAAAGGATTGGCGGGGCCCAATTAGCGGTGATTGTCGCTTTGATTTTTCTTCAAGCCAAAACTGAAATCTTGGTGGCTCCCAGCCGTCCCCTTAGCTTTTTAGCTTTTTAGTGTTGGGATTTCCGTTTCACCCACTAAAAGTTAAACTTTTAGCAGGGGATCTGAGGGCAGCCCCTCGAAACCGCCACGCTCTTCTCGGGTGCCGTCGCGCGTATGTTTTTTTGCTCACAGCTCAGGAGCACGAGGGGAAGATTGCCAGAAGCCCAGCTCCGGGGAGAATGCCTCACTCCCTAAGGCCCTAAGTTCCTGGACTGGAACCTTTTTGGGAAGACGATTTTGGAGGCAGACAAAAGTTTGGAGCTTTTTTGGGCCGATCCACGTGAGTTGCCAGATCTCACTGGGGCCGGGGCTGAGAAGCTCAGAATGCCGGGGCGGAGCGGGGGACAGCGGAGCGCCGGACCGCATATCTGTGAAATGTTTGCTTGGTTTGACCTTGTCTAGGTCCAGTGGTGCCCTCCTCTCCCCCTTGTGGGAGGGTTCCCCTACAAATATAGACAACAAAAAGTTGGCGCCCTTATTCTAACCTCTCTGGAGGACCTAGTTGTAAGAGGAGCCGGGAAAGCTCAGCTCTATCAATCTTTGGGGGTACAGGTCAGGGAATTCCTGCTGAGGTCCAAGAACTGTGTCTTTCCCCCAGAGATACGGCTGTGACTCAAAAATAGGTATCCAAAATCAACCCTGCGAAAACAAGGACTAAAACCTGCGGTCCATATCCTACTTAGTCACTTGCTTGCTGGTTAGTTTGGCCATGATCCTTTTAGCTTTAAGCCTTTTTGTGTGGGGGCTCAAAGCCCAAGCCAGAAACGCAAGCACATGTTCACTTACCCCCGACTGTTCTCAAGCCTTTGATTTCTGAACACAGGGGCTTGACATTCATACAAGAGGCCAGAAGATACAAGTAGGAGGGTACTGCCAGGATGCCTGACTACTCCTCTTGAAAATGGAAAAGCCGTTACTGTTGGAATAGTACGGTATGAATGAACTTCAGCTACACGCACATCGGCGCTTGTCCTTTGTGAGTTGCCCACCCCAACAAGGCATCTTTTTTTGCTTGGCTGTAGATACAAGCAACAGTCGGCAATCTTGAGTAGATACACGGGTAAGCCAGTATGTCTCAATCGCCTCATCGGGGAATCAAGCCTTGGTGACGTGCACCCGTCAAGGTTCAGGAAGCTGAGCCAATCTGATGTTCGACCAGATGCCTTTGTTTCAATCAGCATTGTTGATTCATCCAGAAACATCGTCCCGCGCACTCCCACCACGTAGATTGGGGATACAGTTTCCACCCGGATGCTTTCGTTGGGTCGATACCGATTCAATCCCTCTCGAATTGGGTCCAACAAGCATGTTTCGTTTGGAGAATGCCAAGCTAGCGGTTTCCTTTGGTTCCCTTGACCAACTTGCTCCACACAAGTTGAGCTTTTACTTGCGGGGGTTTGGGCTTACCCTCTTTCCATCATGGAAGTGAACATTTTGGGACTTTCCCATATTTCCCCTTTTTGGATTTTATGCATGACCATTTGGACCGACTTTTCGGGATCTTTTTTTTTTTGAGGTCTACGGCATGTCGCTACGTCAAGTGCGGCGAAGGCTGCAACACGTCCTCAATGGCCATCAGGCGCCAGACTTTTTTCAACCCCCTGTCCGTTAACATGCAACCCACCAGAGGGGTCCCTCAAAAAATCATGTTTATTTGTGACTTAACTATGGTTAAGTCGTCAACAACACATGAATATTCATGATGATTGTTTCAAGGGAGAATCGTCGTCCAGGACCCCGAAACGTCAGGTTCCATGTTAATGGACATGAGTACTTTCCGGGGGCAAACACTTGGCGATGGGTCGTTTCTCCCTCCGTCCCTTGGAAACTCGAATGGATCCCCGAAAGGCGGCTTCCCAAACGGAGACTCCAGAAAGGGGGCGGGGGTGTGCATGCTGTGGAGTGCCGCTGACTTTTGTTTTGCCACTTTGTGTTTCCTCCGATACTGTAGCCCCTTTAACCAGGAAACAGTTAACTGTCTGCAGGGGATCCAAGTCTCACCAAGCTTTCAAGTCGCTGTTGTTTAAGCAACACTTTCGGGTGAGTTCTGATTGAGTTTCCTTTTGGTGGGGTGATGAAGGAGGCATATAAAATGTGTTTTGTTTGAGCATACTATACGGGGTGTTTTGAAGGACCACGACAGGGAGGAATTTCCCCTTATGTCTTTGAGGCTTTCTTGGTTCATCTTTTTTAGAGCAGTGTTGGGTCCGGGTAATCAATGTGTGGTTCCTTTGAGTTGGCAACCAGCGTGCAAAGGATAGTAAGCTCAGGTTTCCTTTGGGTTTGCTTTTGGAGTTGGTGCCTGTTTGGGGATTGAAGGACAACCCAAGGCACACGACGTGGGTTGAACATCCAAGTACTTGCCTTGCTGGGATTTGCGAGTGGCAGTCTTCCCTGGTGTTTCAGTCAACGCCAGGGCAGGGTTAGGCAAATCTTTGTTTAAACAACCAGCTTCCAGTCCCCTTAGGGAAACCAAATTTCGGCTGCTTGAGCAACAGGTGTTCAAGCCATGGTTTTAGCATTTGTTTCAACACCGCGACTAAAATGAGGTCGTGCTCCCGAAGTTCCGTTTCGATTTTTAGTTACTTTTTGGGTTCCGGCCATTTTGGTTTGAACAAAAACAAGGTTCCAACCCAACAAGGTTCATAGTTCCAAACCAAACTCATTGTGGTTCAAACTTTTTTTGGGGAACAAGAACAGGTTCCTGGCTTTCTGGCCCATCCACTCAGGAAGTGAGCGTGCGATTTTTTGTTTTTTTTGGGGGGTTTTTCGAGCTCAGACGCTCAGACGCTCACGGGGCCCGAGCGCAAGCTCTTCACGGAGTTCTTCCTGGCGAACGCTGAGGGAGTGCGCCTTGCCTGGACGAAGGTGAAGGCTTCTTGATGGTCCCCAGCCCCGTCCAGTGGCTTGTGCTTTTAGGTGTCTAGTTGGTTTAGTGGTCGGGTTTCCGCGTAACCCGCAAGCTAAACTGTGAGAGGTGGTTTGAAAAGGAAACGAGAAGGACTTTTATTGATGGTGCCCTTGGGGTGGTTTCCAAACGGCAATTCTTCGGTCAAGGCTTGGTCAGATCTTTCCCCCTACCGCAGGCCCCGCTGGTTGTGTTTTGTTTCTTTTCTGTTTTCTCGGAGGAGGTTCCCCATAGTTGTTGGTCTTGGGTGGGGTATACGGGTTTTGCTCCCAAACGGACCCATTCAGGGATCGACATTCCATGCAGCTGTCTTAGTCTACGAAGGTCGTGCTTTGTCGCGCCTCGAATCTTGTATCGTTACCATTTGCTAAACCGGAGCTGGTAGACCGAAAATGAGTTGTCTGAATGTGTGGTAGTACACCTGGCTCCTTCCCGGATGTTGTCTTTAGGCATGTCTTGTAAAGCCTGATATGCATGGATGCGTATTGGCCTTGTGGATCAAGGGCCCTTGAGTCATTGCGGTGAAAAGGAACCAAGCTCGCACTGCATAGCTATTGGCATTCAACCTGGTTCTTGACTCCGGGCAGCGCAGCGCGTAATACGTCATGTCGGTAGCGTGACTACGTTTTAGCCCAGAACAAGGGGGTCCTGGCTGCCCCATCTGAGACACGCAGTGGTTCGTATATCTATGAGGGCAACCCCGCGCAGCTTCATGATTGGGAGTTCAGCTTCAAAGGAGACGGCGGAGAAGGGGCGCCGTGGAGAATGGATGTCGTTCTGAGCTAGCGCATCGAGCTGTTGAAGGCCTTCGAGGAGAAGCGCCCTTGGTTGCCCGAGATTTGGACCTTGATGTGCCTGCGGAGCAGAACGGCCTCACCACGCTGATCGCTGATCGAGAGGATATGCGGAATGGTCTTTCCGCGGCAGACTGAAGAAGCTCGAGAGCTGTGCAACAAGTTCACGGCCCTCTTGCCCGGCAATGATCAGAAAGCATCTTGTCCTATTGCCAGAGGAGAAAAAACGGTGAGTTCTCAGAGGGATGGATCCTAGTCTGTCCCCGAGTGAGAACTGATGCTGGAGCTCTCCGGTATTTCCCATCAGCAGGTGCTCGTCATTTGTGCTTGCGCAGAAGTTGGACGTGAAAGTTGAGCAGGCACTCATAGCCAACTTCGGATCAGTACACCTCAAGGAAGTCGTACGGGAACTGGCGCAGAACCGGCTACCCGGCATGGACAGGCCATTCTGATCGCCTTCGTGCGATCACTCAGAACCGCCTGAAAGGTTGTGGCTGCTTGGGAGAATAGTTCGAGGCAGATTCCACACAAGATGCAATCTGATTGCAGGAGTCTGGTATCACGCTTGAAAGCAGCAGCTACACCAAAGATTGCTGACAAATGGTTGAGCATCGAGGTAGCCTCGATCAGGCAGAACCTGTGGACTGAGGAAAGTGTCAACATGACAATTGTGTATCAAGTGGATAGCCGCCGGAACAATGGTGGCCGATTCTCTGACTGAGGCCATGAAGGCGGACTTCTGATTGAAAGTCTCCAGGACTAACTGGCAAACACGAGGTGGAGTTGGGGCCGGAGGAAGCAGAGTGAAGCAGTTTTTGAATGCATGTACAGATTCAATTTTTCACCGAATATGGCAAGATGGCAGCGTGACAACACCCGTAGCCGGTTGAGTGTGAGTTGGTTCTGGAACTGTTTCTAATATTCACCTTGGTTGATGTGTAACACCGAATGCTTGTATGCGCCTTGCTGACGCCAAAGTCTGCGCAAGCAGCGGCGTGTGAGCAACAACATGACGGGCGTTCGCAACCAGATCCTATCTGAGGGCAGCGCGATTTCGGAAGTGCTCGAATGTGCCCGCGCAAGCGACCCACATGTGGAGCGGGGAACAGGGGTGCACTTTCAAGGTGGGAGCCGTTTTCCCTTTATAATGTTTAATGTGCTACTGTGTTCCAAAAATGGCCCGGACGAGGCAGGGCCCAACATCGGGAGCTTTCTTGGAATTTGTTAGCATTTTTTAGTTAGCTTTTGCTAGAGCTTGTTGGTTTTTTTGTAGCATTTGGCGCCATTTGTTGGCTGCGTGAAATGTGACACAAAGGCCATCGCGCGCCATGAACGTGTTAGCTCAGAAGCAGAAACATGTTTGCAGAAATGGCCAGGCGAGCAGTGAAGGGGGCAGCGAAGACTAGGGATTGTTCTGCGGTGTCCCCGTAGGTGCTTTGTAAGAGGCCCGGCGCCGTCGTGATTTTGCCGTTCGACGCACGCGCAACTGCAACGTATCTCGTGGGCATATCGAAGCACTTTCTTTTTGTTGGCCGTGCAGGCCCTGGAAAGACTTGTTGGGTTGTTTTGCTTTTAGTTTTTGTTAGTTGTTGTTAGCTTTCTTTAGCTTACTGTGGATTTGTAGCTCCCAGCAGGTTTCTTCTTGGAAATTGTTAGCTCCAGCATGTTGGCTCGCACGCTTGAAGCAGGCTGTTTCAAAGCGGTATGTTGCATGTTCCATTGAAATTTATCCACAATTGATTATTAATCAGCACACAAGCGAATAGTTGCTGTGAGAAGCGTATTTCTGCGAGAAACGTGACTTTGACCATCGAACCTACAATGCTTTTGATTGGCTTCAAAAGGAACCAATTTTGGAAGTGTCCTCATTTTGAAACAAGCCCGTATCTTGCCCGAGACTCATTTGGATGTTTCAATGGTGGGCAGTGAGGACTCACTGCGACCTTGGACGACCGCCTGCCAACCGGTCAACAAACCAACCATCCCCAACCCACCCACCCACCCACCTACTCGACCAACCCACCAACCCTTGAGCCAACCCAACCCGCCTACCAACCAACCAATTACGGTACGTAGTCCCTTTTTGTCCCAACATGGGGTGGAGTCATGATCATTTTGTCAACCTCGGCTGGGAACTGCAAGGAAACAACTTGCCTTCTTTGAGGGTCCTAAAGAAAGACACAGCCGCATGAAGTCCGTTCAATTCTTTGCCGTGGTTTTGGGTAGACCCCGTTCGAGGCAGGTTTTGATTATGATCACGACTCATGTACCGTATATCAAAAAGGCTATGCAGCACAAGCCGCAATCAGCTCACCTTGGGGTATTTCGAGCTGTGATGGTTCCTTTGGGGATTCTTTATTTCCAGTTAATTTAAATTATGTGCATTCGTACCCCACCCCAAATCCTGTGCAGGGATTCCACAAACCCGTGCCAACCACGAGGTTATGACAAGGCGACCCTACCTTCAAAAGGAACTAGGTCCCCCAGTAGTGCATTTTCACACATTTTTTGGGGGAGGGTTCCCCTACTAAAACAGACTACAGAAAAAAGGATACCCTTCTTCTAGCCTCTCTACTGGAGGGATTGTCTTCCACACTTTCAGCTGCTGGTTTAATCGTGAGATGGGTTGCAACCTGGTTGATCCAAGAGGTTAAAAGCGCCATCTTTGCGGAAACCAAAGGGATTTGTTGCGAACTGCCAAGAGAAGCCCATAGCGACTCATCATTCCCTCAGGCTGCCGAGCGGTCGCAAAGCTGTTTGCTACGATGCTGCGGGCCCAGAGAAACGGGGGAGAAGCGCGAAGGAAATAGAAGGACAACACATAATTGACTCGTCCACAAAATTATGCTATATGGCTGTGGTGGTCAAAACCGTTTTGGGATCCCATTTTGGGGTAGGTGAATTCACCACCCATTTTGGAACCTATTTTAGTGGGGATTGGGATGTTCACTGGGGGTACGATTTAGATTTTGACCCATGGCCATATTTATCCAAATGATAATATGGAACAGAGTCAGGACACATGTGTCTGTTGTTTGTTTGTGGATGTGGATTCACCATGGGAAAATGTGGCCTTTAGCCCTTCCGGAGGTTCATGAACTCAGTCTTCCTGGGCTACTCTGCAAGCTTGGGAGTGCGTGATGACCTGTTCAATGGCACCCTTCGTCTCTTTGGTGGAGTCACTAAACAGAGTCACCCCATAAAAGAAATGTCGCCCTTGTTCTGGACCGGGAGACGTTTGCATTTCTAAACTTGGTAGATTCAGGAGAATGGTTCAAGACAGTGCCGGTTTTTGGTATCACGTGTAGTACATGTAGGGGTAATCCCCTAAGTGGAAACAATTGTGAACGCGGTGATATGGCTGTGGCTCAAAGATTCAAGAGCTAGGGTTACGCGGATTTTAGTCTTTGGTTCCTTTTTGCAAGGTGCCATTGTGGTACATGTATTTGAGCCCCAGCCATATCGTGCAAAGGGGCACGAAATCATTTGGCCGTGGGTCAAAAACAAACCACCAGGGGACCGCAAATTCTAGTCTATGTTTCCATTTACCAGGGTTGCATTTTGGCTATATATTTTGGACCCACAGCCATTTTCTACCGTCAAACAAACAGGGGGGTTCCGGTTTTCTGGGCAGGCGATGTCGAGGGTTTGTAGGTGTTTCGTTGAACGGAGCTCTACAACCCTCGATGTCCACAGCTAACGTGAAAGCCAGCGCCACCCGGAGAGCCAAGCCCTTTGGACCGCCCAGTGAAAACTGGGCCCTTGAAATCTATTGCCTTTAATTGTCAAATGGCTGTGGGTCAAAACCAATGGGATCCCATTTTGGGGTAGGTTTACCACCCATTTTAGTCTGTTTTAGTGGGGATTGAAATGTTCCCTGGAGGTACGGGATTTTGACCCATGGCCAAATAACAAGGGGACCAGCGGTTTGAATCACTTGTTTCAGACTTGGAGGAGGAGACAACCAACATATGTGTTGAAGTCGAGGCATGTCGAGGCCAGAAAGAAGTCGAACTTCTATGGAGATACTTTCAGAAGCTTCAGGTTTTGTCCTTGTTGAGTGGCAGGTTTGCCAAAAATGTTGTAAAAACCTAGAGCCTGCAAAGGTGTTTGATTTGTTCGCAACTAAACCATTGAAGAATCCTGGACCTTCCATTGTTACTTAAATTTGTGTCACGAAAGAAAAATGCTCGGGGCATCTATTTTCGCCCAATGATCCAAAAAGTGCTCGTTCCCCCAAAAGCGCTCGTTTCATGAACACGGGCTTCTTGCAAAATACCAAGTGCTACATGTTTTGGATTTGCGCTCGTTTTGCGGGTATTTGCGCTCGTTTTGCGGGTATTTGCGCCCGTTTTGCGGGTATGTTTCACATGTTTCCACGCAACAGGCTATATGAGATGAGACAAGCCGCCGCAGTAGCCAAAAATGCTCGAATCCAAAATTGTGCCCGTTCCCCCGAAAAAAAAACACCCCACTAGCAAATGTCTGTTACGAAACACCCAAGGGACACAAATTTATGTAACGAATGAAGGTCCAGGATTGAAGAGGAATCAGCGGGCTGATACCGAAGAGCAACTACTTGTCTCATCTTTCGAACCAATCCACTCAGGTGAGACCCCCCCCCTACACCCCCCCGGCGCTTGCACAGCTTTCGGCTCGGGCAAATCGGACCGAGTTCTTTCTGAACGCCCTGAGCTCCAACGAAAACCTCCGGGGCTTCCAAGACGCCGGGCCCCACGACGTTTTCGAGCGGAGAGAGCGCTGGAGAGTCGTAGTGTTTGCGCAAGACTCGAGCCTTTGAGCTGACCTTTGTTAGTTTTCTCTTGGTTCATTCTTAGATTCTTGGTGGCCCCAAAAGCTGATCCTATCACTCCTGACTAAAACGACCAATGACTAAGCAAAAGGTTCCAACCAAAAGGTTGCCCCAGACCCCCATGTTTATATCCTTTTACTCAGTTGTCCCTAAGGCTCGTCGCCAGCCGGGAGCGGGAAGTGGTCCTTGGGTATGTGTCAACATAGGGAAGTGGACCTAGGCCAGGCAAGAAAGGTACACGACAAGAGACACCATGTGCTACAAAGGTCAAACGGGTGTTTAAGGCAAATGGCCATGTTTGGTAAAACACATATTGGGTAAGCATTCCTGTGGGCTGGGCAACTTCACGCAAAAGCATGCGGGTGTGCATGTGTCTTCTTGTGTGTTTATGTTTATATATGTTTATTTTTGTTTTTTTTTTTGGGGGGGGGGCACCTCGTTTTGATTGGTTTCAAGGCGAAACCAAAGGAGCCAACAACTGTTGCGGCTGTCCTATGAGACAGCCCCAATGTGGTTTACTTGTTCTGAGACCTCAGGGGTCCTTTTGTTGGGCTAAACCTGATTTGGGCCAGCCTTAGGCGCGAAGAATCTCGCCTATGAGGGGGCTTTGACCTTGAGTGAAACCGGTTTTGCGCGAAGCCGTTGCAGGGTTTGTTTGGGCTCATCAATGCCTCGTCAACTTAGATTGGCAAAGGAACTCCTTGTGCGATTGGTTTCGATGGGATGGAAACAGAACTGTTTTCTCTTCACGAGTTGAACCTTTCAACCAAGGGGTCCCCTAGAATTCTATCGCGCCTTTTGCCAGGTGGTGTCGATTGTGGACCCAGACGGGTCTAGCAAGAACGCGCTGGAATATGCCATGCGCTCAGCGTATGGATTCCAGCCGCAAAAAATCTACAAACTGCCTTAAGGAGTGGCGGCATCGGCATATTGCCGCCACCCGCCTCCCCTCAAACCCCCTCGTGGGTTCGGGGCCACAAGGGAAGGAGTTTCCAACCCACGGATCCTTTCGTTTTACCGAAACTGAGAGCATCGCATCGCAGCGAGGGCCAAAGCTTTTGGGCCTTGCAGCTTGGGCCTTTGCCAAGCCGTGCCGCTGGCAAGTTGGTGGGGTTTTCAGACCTTCCTTGGCGTTGGTTTCCGGGTTGCGATTTGGTTTTCTGCAATTTGGTGCAATTTGGTTTGGTCGTTTCTCCCTCCAGAGTTCTAACACGAAGTCCTCTTTCTTCGGTTCTCCGGTTTTCCAGTCGCCGATGACCGGCCAGGAACCCGACAAAGGGGGATCACTGGCCAAACTCGGGATTTGTCTTCCGTGGCGCCAAAAGTGTTTTCAACTCGTGTTTGGGCAGCTTCCGCAGGAATTGCTGACGAACCCACGAACCACATCCCCTACCTGCTTCTTTTTTTGTTACATGGAATCATATGGAACCCAAAAAGGATTCCCAACACCCGGAAGGTCATTCCCTATCGCATCAGCAAGTCATGTTTGGTTGCTTCCGGCTCTTTGCTTCGGACGCCCAAGGTCTTCCCGGACAACACGGTGGAGGCGGAGAGAGAGAGAGAGAGAGAGAGAGAGAAAGAGAAAGAGAAGGAGAAAGAGAAAGAGAACGAGACACAGAGAGACAGAGAGACAGAGAGACAGAGAGACAGAGAGAGGAAGAGAGAGAGAGCGAGAGAGACCAAGCCGCTCGTTGAACGATGCGCCGAAACGCCCGGTCAAATTTCAGATGTGCCCTTGGAGGTAGGCGTTTTTTGGTTTTTGTTTCTTCCGAAAATTGGGGACCCCTTCAGGAGGTGGATTTCCTTTGGATTTTCCATAAAACCATGCAAAACGGGGACCTCGATTTTGAGAAGTACCCCTGTGTGCCTCAGTCCCCTTGTATTCCCAGTTGATGTCCCTGGTTCAAAGCGATCGGTTGGTACACCTTGCGCTTTTGTTGGTAACAGCGCGCTGCGAGAATGGAGGGGTCAACCTGAAGGGCCTTCGGGGGGCTCGACGAGTGTTTCGGGGTAAAAGGCCCTTGGTTTCCTTGAGGAGGACAAAGCTGGGTGGGCCAAGTTCGAGTTTCCGGATCCAGAAGGCCCCCCTCAAGACGGAATGTGCGTTTCCCCCCCTCCCAAAATACTTCGAACCAAGGGGAGCTGTCGGCCCGTTCTGATGAAAGCTAGGTCACCAGCCATTTCCTAGGTATTCCCATTCTGGCCCCTTCCGATCCCAGTTACCCTCTCTCCAACCTGGAAGCTCCTACCTCTTTGCAAGACTTGGTTCCACAGGATCGGCCAAAAGCTAACGGCTCTGAGGGAGGGTGAGGGGCCCCTAAATCCCAAACGAGGTGTGCGAGGAAGTGGGGGGAGGCGGGGACTTGGGGGTGTACCTCGCCCAGTGTCCTGGGTCAGGCCGGCCTTCCGATCGGTCGATCGCTCAGGCCATGGAGGCCTTGGGCCGGCGCCGGCGCGTGCAGGCCTCCTGTCCTTGCTTTCGATCTGCAGGGAAGCCAACACGACTCATGGAGCAATCAAAGAAATCTGGCCGAGAAATGACCATCGTGGAGAAGCAAAAGAAAATCTGAGCGGCTCACGAGAATCACAGGAAAGAAACACAAATTTCATGGCGTCCTTTTGAAACCTAGTTTTGTGCGCCCTGATTTTTTTTGACGGAAGGAATCCCAAAAAGAGGATAAACACGCGGCCCAATTCCCAGAGATTTCTCTAAAAAGTTGTGGTTTTGCAGGTTCTATCTTAACCTGCAATGGATCTTGCTGTCATGTAGGTTTGACCACGATTCTATTGGGTATTCGGGGTCAGTCCTCTTGCAACCATGGCTACTTTAAGGGGCGTGTACTCAAGTGTGTTATAACCATGGTGATTACCTAAGTACCCTGCCCCTTGAAGCATAGCCGACTTACCTGACGCAGGTGGGCCATCCAAGTACGTAACATGTAACCTGACTGGGGGGGGTTCCCTAAGAGCAGAACATAAATATATGGCGCTGCAATCCCAAGATCTAGCATGACCCATAAATTTAGCCAGGCCATGCTCCATGGCTCTCAATCAGTAGGGTTTGTACCCCTTGTTTGTTGGTTTTAAGCAAAAGGACTTGTTTTTTGGTGGGGGGGGCTACAGAAAGACGACAGACCTGTATTGGAATCAACACGAAAAAGATCCAAAGGGCCCAGTTTCCATCTGAGACACATGTCGCTTTCGCCGGGCTGCCACAATCGGCCAGGCCAAGGGCACTGATAGCCTTGTGCCGCACGACACGACGCCCGGCGGAACGATAGATCCCACACGAGCCTTGTTTTGTGTTGCGTGTTGTTTCTTTTCTCCCGACCCAGTGTGATGAGAACCTCGGATTCTTCAGACTCCCCAACGGTCAGTCGAGGCCCTGTTCGGCCTCAACACCCTGTGTTGGTAAACGTTTCCAGTACTTAGATGGGTTTCTCAAAAGACAGATGCCCCTGAATGAGCCAGGTATGAAGTATCAAGAAGGTAGATGTGTTTGGCTTTGGGAACCCGAAGCGGGCTCAATCAAACCAGTGTCTCGACAAGTACTTTTGGGGAAGATGTCCATGAAGTAGCTTTTGGGAGCTTGCCTTGACCAAGGGTCCAAGCGAAGCTGTCAGGTTTCTGAAATGTGGTTTGGGATTTGGGGGAGTTTGTTTTCACTGGAGATGGTGCTTAGACACTGGACGCTGGACGCAGGAAGGAAGGGTGTTTTTGTTTTGCGTCTTGTTTTTGGCGCGGCTTGGTCGTCTGACATGATCCCCGATTCTTGTCCATCGTGGGGTCCCCGTGGGTGCTTGGTGTTGTTGTTTATTCTGAAAGGGAGGCTTCCCGGGTTCAGACATCATTCTGTAAAGCCGTTGTCCAACAAACAGCGGACAGGAGGAGTCTTGAATAATTATGTTGTCAGTTTTTGGCCTCTCATGAGTGTTGGATAATGAAACATTCGAGATATTCCTTTTTTGAGGGGTGCCCTGCCAAATTAGCTTATATGGGTGTTTTGTGGAGATTTCCTCAATGGGTTCAAGAGCATCCGATTTGGGTGTTTTGTTGTGAGCTATGAGTACCCTTCTTGGCGTCGTTGTAAAGGAAATCCAAAAGAGAACCACCATTTTTACAGCCTAATTGGAGCTTAGGGCCCTCTCTGCATGACCTTCATTTTGTCACCGCTGGGCAAGTGCGTCCTGTTCCAAACCTGGCATTCGAGGAGTTTATCCCTGAAAACAATTGTAGCTAAGTAAGCAAAAGAGCAGATATCTGCAAGTGTCTATGGCAAGGCGACTGTCACTCATTCACAGACAACATATAAGGATCTAGAGTTGGGCATTCCCCTGTTTATTTGGCTGTGGGTCAAAACCAATGGTACCATTTTTTGGGGTAGGTGAATTCACCACCCATTTTGGAACCTATTTTAGTGGTTGGATTTGGCTTTCACTGGGGGTACGATTTGGATGTAGACCCATGGCCATTTGGGTTTGTGGACGGCTCAGAACGGACCAACCCCTTTGGTCGGTGTTTTTCGCGCCAAAGGAAGATGATCGTCATGAACCGGCTGGGGAGCCCAGATGGCGAAAGCCCGAAAGCGGCGGCCGCTGCTGGCTTGCGGCGCGGTTGGTTTCGGGTTCATTGAGACTAGGTCCCCCAGTAGTGCCCGTTTACCCTTTTTTTGGGGGGCAAGGTTCCCCCACTAAAAGAGACAAACCAGAAAAAAATCGGTGCCCTTATTCTAACCTCTCAAAACTGGAGGAACTAGGAGATGTGATTGGGATCCTGCCTAATATGTTTTTAAGGAACACAAGATGTGAACCAAAGTCTAAAGATATGAATTTGAGTTGGGGGCAAAGTTGACCAAGTAAAGGATTAGAGGACCTTGGCTTTTGAAAGAACATTTGACCCAGGCAACTTGTTTAGGATTTGGGGTGAAGTTTGACCCTTTCAACAAGTTCAAGATTAGCCATTGGAAAGGGGGCAAAGGTCTACGGGTGTAGTCCATGGATAGGATGAGAAGCAATTCTGTGCAAGAAACCGGCAGTCAGCCGGACATTCTGCGGAACATACCGGCAGGATATTCTACGGAACATACTAGTTTTAGTGGATGTTTGTTGCAACCTTCCTGCAAAAATGCCTGCTGGTTTCTCTGTTTTTGCCCTATGTGACTGGCTCATTCACGCCACCAATCCCTAAGACCTGCCTAAAATTCGGCGGGGGGGCTGGGCACGCACCGGGCCATGCTCCACGCCACTGGCGTGCATGAAATTTCTGCTAGGCCGACAGGGAGAAAAAGGATCACGGAACATACGTTGTTTCTGACCTGCCAAGAATTTCATGCTGCGTAAAAAAAATCACCCAATTACAAAAACTGGTGCTGGAGCACCAACAGTCGCCCAGTCGGAAACTGGTTTTGGGCTACTTCTTGAGGGTCCCCCTTTTTTTCGGGGTGCATATCTTGCAGGGTTCTAACGAAAGGACCCCAAATGCAGTTTTGTTTGTGCAGCGGAACGTCCGGACTGAGGCTAAAGCTTCAGTCCAGCATTTGGGCGGCGCAGAGGCCGGAAAGATGAGCGTCGCCTCGCCGTATCTGGAAATCGGAGATCCGCAAAATGGCGGCGTTGGCTTTTTGGTTTCCCCTTCAATCCAACCTGTAACCTGCCCTCCAAAACAAACACATCTAATATTGGTGTTTCTCAAAATGGATTTCGGACTTCTTGGTTGGTGTGTCAAGGGAAGCCAAAAGCAAAGTAAAGAAACCAAGGATTTCAATTGGCGGGCCACTATTTTGAGACACCCCCATATTGGTTGTATGTTTCCAAGAATAAACCACAAGGGCCTGGGTGTTTTGGGCAGTTGGTTTGCTTTGTTCGGACGCCCTGCTTACCACTGGGCTTCCATGTGATTGAATGTCCATTTCTGATTTGGTTTTGGCTAGGCCCCCGTGGTTTTTTGGTGAGAATATTGTCAGTCACTCTCTCTGAGCAAGGGTCAATTTTCACCAACTTAGTTGCTCTTTTGGTTCGACCAGAGCTTTGAACCTTGTGGAAGGTGTTATTTTCGATCAACGCGCAAAAGAGGCCTCACATAGCGGGCTCCCCGGCCCAGGAGGGTGCTCGGTATTTCGATTGTTCGGTTTCCTGGCCGGCTGTTCCGCTCACAGCATAAAGGCTTTAGTCAAGTTGGTTTCAACCCTGGAAAGCAACAGGTTCTTTGAACCATTGGTCATCAGCAGGTCTCCCATCAGCTCCTGTGGTTTTGTCTTGTTGGTAAAAAACGTTGTTTTGGCGGGGAAGCCGAAAGGAACGCCGAGATCCATCTTTGGGCCCCGGTTCAGCAGTATCCAAGCCGCCGTGCGCCGATGAAAGGTGCAACCTCACGCGGTGCCAGCTGGGACAGGCACGGTGCTCGGGTGTGTCCTCTCTTTTTCGGAATCGGACCCTCCCCGCCCAAAACACAAAAGAAGAAATGTTTCCCTTTAAAACACACCCAACAAAAGACAATGGGTGTTTTGGAAAGGTTGGGATTCCCCCAACACACCCAACAAAATGGTTTTCCCCAAAAGACAATCAATGCATTGGTGTTCTCCCCTCCCTTTAAAACACCATCGAAAAGGGTACTACATCCAACCTTGTGGTGCCAGTTGACATTCGCTACATAGCCAGAATCAAGCTGGGAACTAAGGTAGAGTTGTTCAAGGGGTTGCTGTGTTTGTTGTGCTTGCTTGTCGGGGAGGGTGTTTTCAACAGTGAATTGTTTTTGCTGCTGGATTGTTGCGGCGCCTTTGATATTTTTCAACATAAACAACAGTGTCCTGTTCACAAGCTGAGCAAGTTCCCTTCGGACTGTTTTGGGTGTAGAACCTTTAAATGGGTCTATAAATGAGTGTTTGTTGAGGTTCCTTGGGTGCTCAAAGCAAATCGCCGCTTTGCGTTTCCTTTCGGGGGTCTATCATCAGTCATGGCAACCAGAGTGATCGACAATGCAACAGGTGCTTTGCTCGAAAAAATAGGTTCCCCACGGGAATGTTCTTGTCGGCAACATATGTGTTGCCTTTTCACCGACCCGGCTTTCCTGCAAAGAGAACTTGAAACCCAAAGCACCCCCCAAACAACGGGCAAAGCAAGTGTGCATATAGTAGCTTGGTCATTTGCCTTGATTCGACACAGTCTTATTGTCTGTCAGTAGAGTCTTTTCTCTGGCAGAGGTTACTCAACGAGATACATGATTGCCTTGTGGTCATTCTGTACATAGTTGTACTGTGACTAGGTTGAGAAAAAGTACACGGTGCCAAGTGTATGGAAGTCTGTTTCCAAAAGGGCATTCCTTGGCGGTTGTTTCACCGGACGATTTGAAGGTCCACGGGACGGCTTGAGCGGTGCTTGTGGTACCCTGCAACTTTGTTGGCAGGCTAGGTCTTAGACTGTCCGAACGCTGCGCCACTCCATACCAACGCCTTGGATGGCTTCAAATGAGCAGCCAAAGCGAAACAACCCTTTTCGAGAGAGTCGAAAGTGGTCCCATGCCGTTTGGCATGGATGAAGGGGGTCCAGTTGAACCACATCCCCAAATCGTGAAGGTTTGCGGTCCCAGTCCCAAACTGAATTGCGGCCTTTGCCATACCCTTTGCCATCCTTGTGGGCATTGGAACGACAGTGCCCGCCGATGTGGCGTGGGACTTGTTGGGGCCTTGCTCTACACCACCAACCCTCCCCCCCGACAGCCCCCCTTGGCCATTCTAGCTTGGATGCTCAAGCCACGTATGTATGTAGGTTGGAATCGTGGTGATAAGTGGGTAATGTACCTATGGTTGAGCATCCAAGACTGTGGCAATTAACTTCCCCACATCAGAGTCTTTGTGCCAGATAGTTTGCTTCCCTCTTGGTGGTGTGGTCTACGGATCACAGATCCGCATTTGGGATCTCTGCATTTCGGTCAAGCTAGCGAACAACCATGGCTGTGACAACAAGAAACTGCTTTTAGAGTGATAAAGTAATCAAAGACGCAGAACAATGGCAATCACAAAGGTTATTTGCCCTGCAAAACGTTCTCTCGACAACTTCTCACCTCCGAAAACCACACCTGGAGAAAAATCGCGAATACCCTCCAAAGCTCTCCCCTTACCTCCCAAACTCACACCTCTGCCCCAAGAAACTGCCCACAAAACCCCCTCCCCCACTTTTTCCCAACCCCCCCCAAGCCCCGCTCGACTTGCAGGAAGCCTTAGAGCAGCAGCTCGAGAAGCTCCAGTCCGCCGGCAACTCTCTGCACGCCCGGGGCCCCGATGTCGCCACGAACGTCTTGGCGTCGGCGCCCCGAAAAAATGCGTCGCGGCGTTTTTTTGTGTTGGGATTGTCCGGGAAAAGCCGAAGAAGCCAGAACAAGCTGAAGAAGTGGCTGGTGTCCCGTTTGGTTGCGCGCATGCAGACAAACCTTTGTTCCTTTTTTGGGGTCCATGTCTCATTTGAGTACTGAGCAAGCCCAGTTTTCTTGAGACACACTCCAGCTTTACCCCCGTTTCCCGATTTTTCTGGAGACATTTATCACCAACATGAAACCCTGCCCTCATATATATATATATATGTATATATATATATAGAGAGAGAGAGAGACATTATCCTCGATTCTTCTCCACTTGATTTGGTCGTGCTGACTGGTTCATCCCAATCCTTCTCCGTCGGCCTCTCTCTCTCGTTTTGTTGCCGGAACCGGGGTGTGGATGCTAGTCCATGGGAGGGTTTCCTCCAGGATGAGCCCTCACCCGATCGAAGCATCCCGTTCGCCAGGTGCTGGAGGCGTAGAATTGGCAAACACAAATTGACATGCTTCAGTGGCGCTTGAAGCACACAGTTGGGTCGTTGAAGGCCAAGAAGCTTTGATGCTTAAAAGCGCCCCCCTTTCCCCCCCCGCTCCCCCCCCCCATCTTTCCCTCCCCCCCTCCTCCCCTCCCTTCGACCAATTTCTCTGGTGCCTTGCGGATTTTGTACGTCAGGACTTCGCCTCCAAGCTGGGCGGCGCGGGCGAGGAGCCCAAGGACGAGGCAGAGGCCGCGGAGTGAGCGCTGCCGATGATTGGCGGGGGTTGCCTCGGACACCAGCCAAGTGCATGGGTGGGTGAAGCTTCTGTTTGGGTTTGCTTGTTTTCCAAAAACCCTTTTTCGGTTGGCTCCAAAGGGAAAACAACCATTTTGGGGCCCCCAAATCCGGAGACACGTCCTGAATTTTGCTTCCAGTAGCCTTGAATGTTTTTGGAACAATGACACAAGTGGCCAGCTGCTTACAATCAACCGTTTTGACTTTGGGTGTCAAAGCCCGACCCGGCAATTGGTTGCCATTGCTTGCTGAGTGTCAGGGAATGAATAGACAATATGGGACCAAGAAGACGCGTTGCAAAAAACAGCCAGGTTTTGGGATGACAGTCCTTCACAAAAGCGTGGTAGAACATGAAGTTGTGTTCCTCTGGACCAACTCTCCACCCTTCACCCTTTTGAAGCGGAGCCTCTGAATCACTTTCTTTTTCCGCGACCTGTCTAGGTTTGTAGAATGTCATTCATTGACATGACTACGAAAGGATTAAAAGACCCCATGTTCTTTGTTGAAGCTGGCCATTTGATGTCTCTTGGGCACCAAAGACGGGAGTGTCAAAAAGTCAAAGCCCGATTCAACCCAAATTTCCTGTGCCGAGGCAACTCGAATTGGAGGTGTCACCAGCAAGCGTCTCAAAGAGATGGATGCTGCACGGGGACTGAAGATGATCCGTGTGATGGCACGAGATGCCGCACAAATCGTGGCGGCTTTGAACATCCTAGTCTAATCACTCGGCCCTTACGGGAACCGCACATCTACATATGGGTGAGTCTTTTCTTAGGGACTCCCCACCCGTGGTTTCCTTGTAAACCAGCAAATTAAGGGGCACCCTCAAAAGGGGGGCAGACCCAAAGGAGCGCAGACAGAAATTCAGTCCCTTCGTCAAATGGCCTCGGAGCGCACTCTGCTCTCTTATAGGCACCCGCCGCCGCCTCAGATCTGGATGACACGTCACAAACCTCCGGCCGTTTTTTCAGGGGTCCCTACTGTGGATGGTTGCGAAATCCATTTCGCACCACCTAAGAAACCCTGGTTTCTGATGAAACCAACAAATACTGGTTTCAACCATGGTGTCAAGGTGGTGCAGGATTTAGTTCATGGGGGGCGGGGGATAAAATAAAACCCCCCAACAAAAAACTTATTACACCCTTATGTCAAGCCAACCATGGGAAGCCCCATGGTTTCCAAGCGCGAATTGGATTTCGCAACCATCCACCTTTTATGCCTCCCTCTTGAAGGCGGTTTTAAACATCACCTTTTTAGGCATCTCGAATCTCGGCTCAAAAGCCATTTGCCTCAGGGAGTCGCGGTTGAGGGTCCCGCCATTCCTCCGATGGAAGGTCGGACGTCCACAAAACCCGCCTTCCCCTGGGCGGGGCGCTGATGATCAACTTTGCGGCCAGGAGAGCGTCCTTTTCGGTGTGGTGTGCAGTTTTGCCCGAAATGAGAGCTCTGTGGATTACCTGGGTTTGCGTTGTGGCTTCTTCCTTGCCTACGTGGCTACGGTCGAGCACTTCCGTCTATGTGGCCGTGTGGGCGAGCATTTCTGCTACTTCTTTGGGATGGTGCCCCGCATTTGAACTGCGCCTCCAGCTTCTGGAGCGTGGTGCAGGCTGAGCTGGTGAGCCGGTTGCGATGAGCTTGTGGCTACGTGATGCTTTGTCGGTTCTGATATCCGCTTGCTATAAAGGGCGGGCCTGACCCGAATTTGGCTTGTCCCTGACAAACACTTTTCGTGTGACGGCCCGCCCTTGTCTCGCTTTATTTTTTTGCGCCTTTTGCTCCGGCAAAGGCCGCTGCGGGGGTTTCCTCTGCGGTGCTTCGGCTTGGTGTGATGATCCGCCCTGGCCGCGGCCCTGTTCTTTGGTTGCCTTCCTTTGTCACTCCTCCTTGGAGCGCGTCTTGCCCTCGGCCATAAGTGCCGGGGTTTTGCTTTGGTTTTGTTTTGGCCTCGGCGCCGGCAGGCCCGTAGGTCGGCGCTCGCTCCGACGCGTGTGCCCGTGAGATAAACATCACCTTTTTGGCCCAGACGAGTATCCGCCTTGGGGTGATGGTTTTTAGGGTAAAGATAGGGAGTTTTGCTGTTCCAGTAGATCAGTTGAATTGTGTGGTATGCTCTGGGTTCTGGCTTTTAGAGAGCCCCAATGCGCAGCGTCCTTGAACCCTTTGTGTTCCCAGTTGCATTCATACAAATGTGTGCTTTTGTCTCACCCTAGATGGAGGCCTGGGTTGGGCAAGCCTAAACTCAGTTCTTCAAAGCTGCCTTTTGAGCTTTTGGTTTCCCACGCGGTCCTAAAGGATTAGCTTATTGTTCCCAGGTCCTTTGGGCAAGTGAAAGAAGAACCTACGAACACTTTGAAAGGGTGGGCAATCACTTCGCCCAAATTTGGGCTCTTTTGGCGTTTCACTGCTTTGCATTGCCCAGGTCCCCCAGTAGTGCCCTTTTACCCTTTTTTTGGGGGGCAAGGTTCCCCTACTAAAAGGGACAAACCCGAAAAAAATCGGTGCCCTTATTCTAACCTCTCAAAACTGGAGGACCTGGGAGGTGTGATTGGGATGCCTGATATGTTTTTAAGGAACACGAGATGTGAACCTCTGAGATCTGGAGGACCTAGTTGCGGGCTGAACTTTGGGCTGACGTTTTTTGGGGATCGAACTCCTTGCCATAAAGCTGTGCTCTTTCCCCGAATCGACATGAACAACTTCATGATTGTCCAGTCAAGATTTTGCTCCAAAATCCCCCCGGCAAAAAAATATGTTTAAAAACGACAAGTTGTTTTCCTTCCTTTTCCCTTTCAACAAGCTCTCCCATAATAGGGGCACCCCCTAAAACTGGTGGTTTTCCTTGATTTCTCATTTCAACCAAGCCCAAGCAGATTAGAAAAGACGGCCCCAAACAAGCATATCTGAATACTCCAGGACTTATAATTGATGGACCCTGAAACAGGGGTTCCGGCAGTAGAATTTGTTTTCGCACATAAAGGTTTGTCAGGTTCCAAGCGGATCTCCCCCATTTGGTGTTGTGAATGAGGACATCACTGGCTGAAGCCCAACTTTTTCATGGTTGTTGTTGGGAAACATTTTGTTATTTTTGCTCATTGTGGTTTAGTGAGACATTTAAATGTTTGCTCCCCTTCCAACGTCAACCAAGTTTAGGTTCCTCGAATGAGTCAGGTGAGCAACAAGGGAATCGGCTCAAACTTTGAATGGCATTTCACTTGACTGCTATTGGGTTGGATCTTTAGACTTTAACTTTTTGGGTTCTCCGCCAAACCCCCAAACAGTTAAACTGTTCGGGTCAACAGCAACCAAGTTCAGATGTTGAATGCAGGTTGAGCTTGGCGCATAGCGCGAGCAAACCGATTGAAAGATGGAGCCAAGCACTTCACGCAAGCACCTCCCCAGCGAGAATTCAGGGGGAAGCCATTTGAGTCACTTGCTCAAATCGCGGGTAGTTGGAGGGTAGCCGGAGCAATCTGTTTGCCACAAATGGGTGCGGATTGTCGTCTTCTTTGACGTCTTACAGGGTTCTTTGTGGACCATTTGAATACCGGGTTTTGATCATGACGCATTTGATGACTGAAGGTTATCTTGCTTGCAGGGGAACCCCTGATTGATATGTAGGGGGCCCGGACGAGGGCAGAGGTCAAACCCAGGTCCCCGAGTTCTCTCACACCTAAGCCAAGGCTCACCAGCGCCGCTTGGATCCATGACCTCTATCCGCTCAGGCTGTGTTCTTGTGTGTTTTCTCGTTTTTGGTTGCTTTCCGCTGCGTGCAACCCCCCCCCCCCCAATATGCGGTGCCCTTCTGCAAGGATCTCCGGCCCCCACCAAAGGCACCCGCAAGTTGCTGAGGCTTGCCGAAGCTTGGCGGTGCGGCTCGCTCCCCGCTCGATGCGCGGAGAACGCGATCGGCGCTGTGGCCGCAAATCCGAAAAGGAGTGGACCTCCTTCCAGCTACTTCGAAGGCTTTCAAGCCAGGACCGCCCAAAATCCGGAGGAAAACCCACTTGAAAGAGCCAAACAAACCAAGGCCAAAGCTTTCCTTCTTGACGTTGTTTCTGTAGTACGTTGCTTTGATTTTGAAGAATACCCGGATGTTCAGCTTTTGCACTGGTATACCAAGTTGCGATCCTGTCAGGGCCGGCATGTCTGGGCTTTCTGCAAATTGACATGAGCAGCGCCCAACACTTCCGTTGACCATTAAATGAAAATAGTTCTACCTGTGCCACCCGGTCTGATGCTTGTTACACTTGGTGGAACCCAACGACAACGGATTCGGGGCTCTGCTCACAAATTCAACCCCACAGGGAGGCAAAGTCCAACACTGGCAAACAAAGCTTGGTGTTGTCCGACAGATTGGTGGGTTCGAAGTTCCTAAAATCGTTCTGAAGGCATGGAGTTGAAGCGAGTAGGGCTTCATGGTATAAGATAGGGGACCTCATATTCATTGTCCCTTCGGTTTTTTGGGCACGCCAATCTAAAACGGGGTGCCCTCCAAAAACGCAGGACATTCGATGGTCGAAATGGCCCGTTGCGGTGGATCCGAGCGAGCGTCCGGCAGATTTCGGCTCGGCCGAATAGCTTGTGGATTTCACCGCTTTTTCGTTTCAGCTTGTGGGTGGCAACACAAATCGACCCCATACCGTTTGCTGTCGTTCGCTAGTGGAAACCGGGCCAATGTCTATTGGCTGCCCAACAAAACTGAGGCGCGTTTGGCGCCTAGCCTACGGTGGCCTTTGATCCTTCTTTTTGAAGGTCGCTTGACCAAAGTCAACTACCAGCGAATAAGGATCTGAGGCTTGACCATTTGATGCACAGGGTGGACCATGCTCTCTGTGACTTGTTTTGGCTGGCTTGCAAGTCAGACAAGGCCACCATCCACCACTGACCGGAAGCCTTGCTCGCAAAGCTTTCGGAGCTTGACATCGTTGAAAGGAGGTGCCAACCAGGTTGACGTACGATTCAACCTCTTGTGTCATGGTGTCTTTAAGTATTTCATGGATCGTCTGCTGGTTCCCTCAAAACGAACCTCCCTGAAAACCTAGCACCACCAACTCGGCCAAGATCCCATAGCTGTCACTCTTAATCTCCTCTTGGTCTCCCAATGAGGGGCTAAAAAGAGTTGCCACCACTGCGATCGTGACTACATCCAAAAAGTAAAAATGAGTTCTCTGACTAAATCCAAAAAGTAAAAATCCCTGACGGAAGCCGAATCAAGTCTGTTTGTTTCACTGTCGGCCGCTCATGGCGCACCTCTTGGTCCGCCCGGATGAGGAGCCAAGTCGACACCTTTCTTAGGCTTACGGGAAGACATGACAAGAGCAGGTGGTTTTGTGTTTGACATCACAGTGGACGCATGTTTTGTTGTTTTTTCCTCATTTGGACAGTAGATGGTTGTATTTTAAATGTCCTCATTTGGACTCTCCACCACACAAGTGAGCGAGCAACTCGTAATTCAAACACAGAAACACCTCAATTCCATCCGGCTCCATTTTTTGATTGACACCAATCGAATTGACCTTTTCTGAGGGGGATAAAACGTAGGGTTTCAATCGAGCTACACTAGATCCACGTTGGGCCATGTCTCGGTCGGGAGAAAAAACTACAATGGAGCCAGTTCAGGTGGCGCTCGCCGCTTGCGCTCCACTTTCGTTCGCAACTTGCTGGGCGTGTTTTCTCGTGCAATTTGTTGCGCATGTTTTCTCGCGCAATTTGCTGCGCGAGTTTTCTCGCGCAATTTGCTGCGCATGTTCTCTTGCGCAACTTGCTCCGCATGTGCTCTCGCGCTGCTTGCTCTGCACGTGCTCTCGTGCGTTTTTGTCCGCATGTTCTCTCGTGTATCTTACTGCACGATAATGTCCACCTCATATTTAGAAACCCCCCCCCCCACCCCCCTAAGGTCGTACGGAGGGGGCCTGTAATTAGAAGCTTCCAGCGGATTCCGGAGATTCCTTACCTGGCTGTTGGTCAGCGCCTTCGTTCAATACGACTTTTTGTGGCTGGGTAAATCGCAGGGCTTGGCAGGCTACTCCTACTCGCCCCTTGAAGCCCTTAGACAGTGAAACTCTAGCGGCTCTTGCGTGCTCCTGAACAAGAGCACGTCACAGCCGCGGGTGTTGCTTTGAGGGAGTTGCTGCCTTGCCCTGTTTCGCTTTCAGTCACGCACAAGGAGCTGAGCCATTTTTTGGGATTTCCTGGGCCAAGCCGGATTGTGCAATTACGGGGGGGGGGTTCTAAATACGTTCTGGAATTTGGTGCAAATACGCGGGGGTTTCTAAATATGAGGTCAACATTAAGGCCAACTTTTTTTCTGGAAGAATCCTTCGCAACGCTTTTGGAGAAAAACACCACCCTTGGTCGATCCCTGCTTCCGGCCCAGGGCCAGAATCTAAACAACAAAGCACTGGGGCTCCGAGAGTGTGAATTCCAAATATTGCAATTCACAAAACATGGCCAAAAGCATGACCAACCAAAATGTCTTGTCAACATAGTCAACAACCTCTGGACACACTGTGCAACGAAGGTGTGTTCACTGGAAACGAAACAGGGGTGTTCCGAGCTTGCTTCCAGCAAATGTTGAAAGCCCAATTCGATCAGTAGTTTCCTTGGTTTTCCCCTTTCCAGCAGCAAAATCGCCCACTTTTGCGGACCCAGGTGCAGTGTGGTTTGGGTGGGAAGCTGAATTCTGAATGGGTCTTCCCCTCTGTGATTTCCTCACACCCCTGGTGCTACCATGGACCCCAAAAGATAGTGATGGGTTTCCGTTTGCGCGTGAATGAGGAGGGGGCGGTTCCATTTTGTTGGACATTCCCAGCCCAAAATTGCAAAATAGAATTCCATCGGCGCTCAAAACTTGACCTTGCCTCTAGAAAGGAAGATCTCAAGGTCCCATGGTTGCAATATTCAAGCAAAAGTCAGAAAAGTGATTACTAGAAGTGCCCCTGACTTCTGTATGAAGCACTGCGCTGCGAACATAGAGAGAGAAAGAGTGTGTGTGTGTGTGTGTGTTTTCCCGTGCAGTAGGTGGTCCCGGATCGCGCAGGAGCCAGATCCTTCTGGCTACCCGCTTCAAGGCGGGTTGGGTGCCTGGGCTGCCATGGGCCTTGGTAGGTGACCGAACATTAGTTGCGGTTTAAGAAGTGGTTTAAGTGTATGAGGTGCTCCCTGCAAACCAGCTTAAACTTAATACCTTCACAAAGGCACACCCATATTTCAACAAGGCTATGAAAGGCCAATCAAAGCGAACTTATCATGGTTTTAACAGGGGGTGGGCCAAACTGTCAACAAGATGTGTTCAAAGAATGACCAAACCAGGGTTATTCCGAGTTTGTAGTGACCAACGCCCAAGAGTAGGACATTGGATTGGTTTGCCGTGTTTGCCCTGTTCCTGAGCCTGTACCTTCCTTTGTTTTGCTTATGTTGGGTTTTTAGGGCAATCTATCACTACTGG